AAAAGAATATACAACGAAATAATCATATGTGGAATTTAATAATTTAAGAATAACAGCAAAAGTTACCATAAGTGCAGTAATTTTTCTGAAAATGATTTGTTTCACTTATGCAATTCACGTCGTATGTAATAAATATGTCCTTTTCTTTGGACCGAATCAGTCTTAACCATTTAAACCCTGTGAAAAAATTATATAAATATCATATTGATCCACATATCGCCCGAAAGAAAGAATAAAGAAACACTAATTATATTGTATACATTTGAATTCCTTCGTGAGGTAGATCTTAATCTCTCTCTCAATATTCTTGTGTACTGTTTTTTCCGCTATCACCGGTCCGAATAAATACAGGATAAGATAATACTTTTTACCATTTGTTATTGTACTGCAATAAAATTACATTCGATTAGGTTAAGTCGCATGATGATTTGTATATTACTTTTCTTGTTACTTGTTATATACCTAAAAAGTAAGTGATCACTCTCCACTCGAAGATAATAATCGGATACATCAATTAAAAGAATACGAATAGTAACAATGAGGTCTGATTGGCTCCATAAAACTTTTGGAGTATAGCACTTAGAAATAAGCCGTGGTGGGCAGTTCATTGTTTCAGACGATTCTTCTGTTTAAAAATAAAAGAATTTAAATTACGTATTTAATTTGTTTCCTAACAAAAATATGATCGTGGTAATTATTCTGATAACTTCATACATTTTTCAATATGACTTACATAAGTTAACCAAACGTGTATTCACTGGAGTCAATGGAGAATCTATTCTTTTTGGCTGAATTAGCTGCGGTAGGTTGTATAAATCTCTTTTCATCTCTTTCTTGAGATTAGACAGGGAAGAGAAGAGAAGAAAACTAGTGCAAATTAGTGCAACTAGTGCAGGAACAGAAAACAAAGAACCGTTGATAACATTTCTGATTTGCTGACCTAACTCGGAGTCGTCATCGTGCTATAATTTTCTAAAAATTTAACCGTGTGTTTAAAAATGTACCAATCAGAACGCAGTACAATGATCCCGATTCTGGTCGAGTCAGCAATTCGAAAACACCATGTAGCTGATCAATGATTAACTCAACGGAATTGACCAATCGCATTGGCAATTAACTTATTTCTCTAGATCTAAAAGAATAATCCAATGAGTTCAGAAAACTTCCAACGGTTGCAAAATAAACGTTCTGCTGAACACGGCCATTGCCACGTGTTTTCATAAGTGAATCGTCGCAAAACTAGGAAGAACGCCGTTGAGCTTCCTATAATTAAAAGAGAGAAAGAGAGAGAGAGAGAGAGGGTAGTGAACCGTCAAAACGTGTAAGGAAACAAAACAGTAGATTTCTGAAAATGAGTGGTATTATATATTAATTTAGTTAATAAAACTTATTCTCAGTTAAGTATTAAAACATAGTAAAAATGACTGATACAAAGCCGGAAAACGTTAATGAAAACGTTAATGAAAACGTAATGGAACTGGCAAAGAACATCCATCATGGGTAAGAAAATCTATTCTAACCTCTAAAGAAATATTCATATTATGATTTCTTTTCTAGAGAACTCAACGACTCGTATAATATCGTAGTGACTACGATTTCCGCATTCAAGGAGATCATCAATAATACAGAATGGAACACAGCAAAGTATGCATTTTTGTTTCTAACTGTTACAACTTATTCTCATTATCGTTCAATAATTGTTAGTTATCATGTCAGTTTTATTGGGGAATACATATCAACTTTATATTTATATTAACTTGTGCTTTTTATTTCAACAGAGATTTGATGAGTATCATCATACAGAATGGGAAATATTTAATCAAAAATTGTCCTCTTGAAGCCTGTATTGGAAATATGGTGAGGAGAATATTACAGATCATCAGGGAAGAATATACTTCAGAGTTGAGAAATAAAACAGACGAAACCGATCCTCAGGAATCTTTGCATAAGATTCTAACTGCTGAGAGCGATCAACAGATCGACTTTAATATTCCGGTACCTTCCCTCAAATCTGCCGTTAATGAGCACATTAGTGAATTTGAAACTGAATTAGAAACATGGTTAGTTGTCTATATGTATATCTGCGTCATACAGAATTCATCTTGATTAAAAAGGAAATATTTTCATTTCCGTAAACATAATTATAAATTTTTCTACGTTCACAGTTCAGACAATATCATCCAACAGGCTTCCGAACACATACATTCAAACGAGATTGTAATGACTATTGGTAAGTCCAAGTTAGTGGAGGAATTTTTTAAGAAAGCTGCTACCACTCGACCTTTCGAAGTCATAGTGGCGGAAGGTGGGCCTCTTTTAACCGTAAGTCCATGTTTAACCTAGGAATTGGATAGGGAATTTATTAAAGAAAGAAATAAACAAGAGAAATGGGGCGACTCTAGGGGCACGAAATGGCGTTGAATCTGACCAGAGCGAAGATCAAGACCACTCTTATCTCAGACGCAGCCATTTTCGCAATGATGTCGCGAGTTAACAAAGTCATAATTGGCACCAACAGCGTCATGGCGAACGGTGGGCTCAGATCGATCTCAGGATCGCATACAGTGGCACAGGCAGCCAAACATTACTCCGTTCCAGTTATGGTTCTGTTACCTCTCTTCAAGTTGTCGCCCCTGTATCTTTGTTCGTACAAGCAGGATAGTTTTAACAAATACATCTCGCCGTTCCGGGGTGTAATTGAGGCTAACAATGCGCAGTTGCTGGAAAAGATAGAAGCGTACAATCCCATGTTCGATTATGTCCCACCGGATCTGGTTACATTGTTCATCACGAACACGTGAGACAAAAAATGGACTCTGCAAACATCAAGTCGAGCGACAAGGACCAGTTAATTTGTCCTTTTCTTCTTTCAGAGGTGGAAACGCGCCGTCTTACGTGTACAGACTGCTCAGCGAACTGTATCATCCCGATGACTACGAGTTGTAAATAAACATCTTCGTTTACTCGATGCGAGACGCCAAGTGTGTGATCTCTTTTGTATCATACCATGTGTTATAGTACCGTCACATTGTGGTTTATTTACAAATAAATTACAAATTATATACAAAAAAGTAGTTGCTTGCTTTCCTTCTTTTTTTTTTGTTTTCTTTTAAAGTAATAAAATATTACACGTATGGATTCCAGTTACTACCGTCCTCGGGTTGTAAGGAATTTGTCACTAGCAGGATGACATCGACAATCCACCAAACACCCATACCGCCTAATGTCAACAGTTTGCCCACTCCTGTCCCGGTATGGCCGAGGCAAAATCGATCCATGCCGAGGAAGCCCAGCAGAATGCTGTACAAGAGAGTCGTTGCGAAAAAGTGATCACTGTACTTTATACACGGTACTCCTTCGCGAAAGAACGTTCTTGGTCCGAAGCACTCGATGTCCGGCAATACCGTACACGACACTTTAGTTTTCTCCACATCCTCATAGCGAGATCCTCCAAACTAAACAGACAATTAACATCCAGCTCTTTGTTACTCGACTCGTGGAATTATGTCGATGTCATGGGGAAGTGAGATTTTCACACACACACACACACATACACACACACACACACACACACACACACGATGTCATACCTTGACGCAACCGAAACCTATCTCTTCCTTGGCAGTTTTGTTTCCCTTGTGATCGATCGGTTCTTCACATTCTATAAACTCTATCGGCCTGAAAAAATACAAACGCGTAACACGTTTGTTTTGACCGTCTTCGGTCGGCCGTTGAGAGACGCGTATTCGAGTACTTACAGAAATTTACACATCACCAGCGGTCCCTCCGGTCTGTATTCGAGCTGCTGATCGACACTCTTATTCGCGCTGGCAAGCATCAAACATTCGCCCCGATCCCACGAAGAACAAACGATTGCTACGAGAACGAGAAATAACCTCATTTTGTCGTGCTTGACATTTTAAACGAACCATGATACATGGAGTAACAATGATCGGGAAACGATGCTTCTGTTTTCAGTTACTGGACGAACACCAACGCCACACAGGGTCAGGTGGCGTATTGGTGAAATTTCTTTTTATCGCAAGGCACTTTTTAGGTGGATGTTGCGGAGCTACGGACAGAACTTAGGCGAATATCAGCGAAGTCGATTGTGGTCGTGTGGCTGTGATTAATGCGTGATTAACGTGTTGTAAAATTTCGTGTTTGTATATAATAACATAATAATACGTAATAATATTACGTAACTTATAACGAGAGATGATGCGACGTGAATAATAATAACAAATGATAAGAAAATAATAGTTAATCTGTGACAGTTCAATATATACTGTAAATCATGTTTTCTTTAAATCGGATGTATTCCACGCCAAGAGCCTATTTAACTTGCATGCCGTACGGCGATTCAATTTTTCCCAGAAGATTCAATCATCGACATACGTCTAAGCGCACTTCGAAGGTATCGTATCAGGTGTCGTAAAATTGACACTTCATAGAAACATAAAATATTCCATATTTAAAAAATACCAAAAACCTGTGTTTACAGTTGTATCAGACGCTGGGTGTCACGGAAGACTGCGAAGACGAAGCCTTGAGATTAGCATTTGTTTACCTCGCTAAGCGATTTCACCCGGACAGCGGGACATCGGAAGCCGATACTGTTAGATTTTCTGAGGTAATATATCACTGATACACACTGATATTCCACGTCGAATAGTTCTCATTATCATGCGGTAATTCAAGGTAGATTGAAAGCGCGTATAGGGAAATTCGGAAGATTAGGAACGCGCAGAGTGACAAGCAGGTGTTGCCAGAGGTGGAAGAATTTGACATCAAGGTAACTGTCTCCATCTTGTACATCCTTTTTCTTTTCCATCTCTATAATTGTTCCTACCTTAAGCACACAGCACCTCAACATCGTCACTACTTGACTTTTGATGTGGGGATCGGCACGCCGAGCAAAAGACAGAGGCTGCACACGATACAGAGGGCTCAGAAGGCGGTCGACAACGTGATGGAGCACAGACTGAAGAAGCTGCAAGCTGAGGAACGGAACACATTGGTCGGCATGGATAAGCAGAGGGCCAAAGATATTAAAACTCGTTACGGCATGGATCGTTTGGTGGAGGACTTGATTCAAGAGGCGATGAGCAGGGGTGAATTCAGAGACCTACCTGGAATGGGGAAACCATTGACTACCACAAGCGCCAGGAATCCTTACGTTGATTTTGTCACTCATAAGTTAAATCAGGTATTGAAACTTGAGAATCGATAATAATAATATTTATAATTCCAATAATACTTGAATATGAAATATCTACCCGTGCGTGTCATGAATACAGATATTGATAGACAATGGATTTACTCCGGAGTGGATACAGCTGTCGAAAGAAATCAGGGAAGAGACGGAGGAGTTGAGGAAGAAATTGTCGGAAGTGCGTAATAATGTAGGCGAGCTTCCGTTAACAGCAAGAGATGCGTCTGTGTGGAAAGATCATCTGGAGAAATTACAAGTCTCGACTAAACAGATAAATAACAAGATCGATAAGTACAACTTGTTAGTTCCTATACTCCAGAAACAGATGCTTCACGTTCGATTGGACGAGTTCGCTGAGAAAGCGTTATCGGTGCCACCTCTTAAAAGTATCAAGAAATATGCAGAAGTTAATCGCAAAAGCCCCAATGAGAATGTTCCTCAAGATCTCTTTAATTTCATCAGTGATCTGTTTAGTAGGAAAATTACGTAGAAAGTAATCTTGCAATGTGATATTAGCGATTCGTGTATCGCGAGAACCTATTTGTATGTACAAAAAAATATATATATCAATATATTAAAGAATGCGAGCACCGAATTACGAGCTATGTTCCCCAAATCCCAAGTTTGAAACTTTTGGAACGCTGTGCTTCCGGAACGAAAAGCCGGATCAACTTCTAACCGGCGTATTTGTTTTCAGCTCAACGAGATCTTTAATTTCAACCATCCATTTCACTGAATGGATTTGGCGAGCATTTTGACCGCACTCTTTGTACACAAACACGTATAATATATGTAAATAAGACACGCGTGAGAATAATCAAGTAAAAATGTAATTTTTATCTTTTACGAATTTTTCTTCACCGCACGCGCACACACGTATGACTTAGAAGTTCCAGTGGAGCGTACCGTCTTCCTTTAATTTTATACGCCCGGTCGCCAGGTGTTTCAAAGCGCGAGGATAAGTTCGGTGTTCCGCAGTTTTCACGCGTTCCTGCAGGACCTTTTCAGTATCGTCTGGTAACACGGGTACCGCTTCTTGCTCGATGATAGCTCCCGCATCAATGTCAACCTGATCGATGTAATAATGAGACCGTTCGTTAATAGCGTTGGAAAAATCGTCTCTTATCACTTGTCTGAAATCATTTCAGAAAGCTGCTTTCACATCTGGTTTTTCATACCTCAACGAAGTGAACGGTGCAACCCGACACGCGCACACGCGCCGCCAAAACGTCCTTGTGCGCGTTCGCACCTTTGAAAGACGGCAGAAGCGACGGGTGAATATTTAACAAAGCTCCTTTCCAGTGTTTGACAAACTTCTCCGAGAGAATCCGCATAAAACCAGCGAGGCATATTATTTCCACTCCAGCGGCATGAAGTTCCGCGGTCATGACCGAGTCGAAGGCTTCACGACTGGGATAATCGGTGTGTTTAATTACCTGTAGGTGTGTTCCAATGAATAAAGGCTGATTGGAAGCAATATGCATCTCTAACATTTAGTTTGCGATTTAAAAATATTATGGACACCCGATCTGCCCATTATATTCGTTATCTCTGTTATATTACGATATATCTTCTACATGTTGTCTCTCTTCTCTTTTTACTGTTTATCATAACATATTAATACCACGTATTAATTACCACTGTCTTAATGCCGGCTCTCTCAGCACGTTTAAGTCCCTCGACGCCTTGCTTGTTGGAAATCACCAGGACAATTTCCGCTCCTACACGCTGAGACGGATCCTGCGTAGCGTTAATTAACGATTGCAGATTCGTCCCGCTACCGGATATCAAGACGCCCACTTTCTTGACGGGTTTGCTCAACGTTGCGACCAAGTTAGGAACATATTGTTTCATCTCCAACTCGAGAACTTTCTCCAAGTTCTTCACTTCCACCTTAGAGCGGCCACCTGTGTGTTAATACGATTTATACGAATGTACAAATGCGTGTATAATCAGTCGCAATTATCTAGCAACAGTAGCTTCTTACTGAGATGCGTATTCACGCTTCCAATAATCACAGGACTTTCCGCTTTCAGTTTATTTAGGATTTCGAGTTTGTCCTTTTCGGCGCACACTAAAACGCCACCGATTCCACAGTTAAATGTCCTCAACATTTCGTATTTATTGATTCCGCCTGTACGAAAACAAAATATCTTCGATGTAAGGTTTCTGAGGAAATTTTCGTAGAAATTGTAGATTTCTTTCAAAGTTGCCACGGAAAATGAATTTTGAAATTCTCCGATACTTCCACGTTTTCCAGTGACGACGTGAGCGGAGGATTTTTCACGAGCGATATACAGAATAATTCATTTTAATCTTAAGAGGCAAATATTTCGAAAAATATGGAAGATACGGAAAAATGTTTCAGATAAAAGTTGCTGGAGCAAAATCAGACCAACAAGAAATAAATGAGGAAAAAAGAATATAGTTGAGAGCATTTAAGGAAATTATTAGCGAGGTTTAAAATTCCAGGTTTTTTTTTGTTATATCTTTCCTTAACTTTCCCAAGTTTCTAATGACATTTTAAGTCTCCACGATTTTTTCCGGTTTTCCCAGATCTGTGGCAACCCTGACAGAGATTTGCATCACACATTCGCGTATTCACTCACCAGCCGCGGCCAGCCAGCTGAAAATTGGCGGAATATTCCACTTAGTCGCGTCTAACGTTACACCCAAGTTCTCTGGCAGAATTCGTGGAATATTTTCTGTGAGACCTCCGCCAGTGATGTGGGCGAATCCCTTCGCCAGATTGGTCCGTAAAGCCGAAATGACGCTTTTTACGTAAATTTTCGTTGGTATCAGTAATTCTTCACCTGCAGTATCGCATCGTTACACGCTTGTATAATACATATTCCATGTTTCTAAAAACACTATGATCTAACAGTAGTTGCATACCGATAGTTCTGTTCTCCATGGAGAAAGGTGCTACGTCGGAGAGCTTCTTATCGGTGATTCTCAGTACTTTCCGGACCAAACTGAAGCCGTTGCTGTGCACGCCGCTGGACGGAAGACCGATCACAATGTCGCCTTCTTTTATGTCGTTCACACGTGGCAGCAAACTGCCCCTTTCGACTGCACCCACTGCGAAACCTGCCAAATCGTATTCCCCTTCGGAATACATGTCCGGCATCTCGGCCGTTTCTCCACCGATCTGGAAGATATCATCATATCTGGATGATATCATGGTATCATGATGTTGTGTCATCACTTTAGTGATCATATTATTGGAAAAGTTAGTGTTTCTTAAATATCCCAAACACAATACATATGTCCCGAAGTTGTCTCAAAGACATTCAGACGTCCTTAACGTCATCCAGGATATTTCTAACTTGCATAACGAATATAACGTTACTACTTTAGTTACTTTCTAAATTGCATAATGAATATAACGTTACTACTTAATTACCAAGGAACAGCCTGCCAGCTTGCAACCCTCGCTTATTCCGTTCACGACTGTCGTGGCTACTCCGACATCGAGTTTGCCGCACGCGAAGTAGTCCAAGAAGAACAACGGCTCGGCGTTGTGCGCGAGGATGTCGTTCACGCACATGGCCACCAAGTCTACGCCCACTGTGTCGTGTTTATTACATTCGAACGCTATCTGTAACGAGGAAATGTCTGCTTGTGAAAGTAACCGGCTGGTGACTCGATTCAGGCTCAACCTGTACCTTTAATTTAGTACCGACGCCGTCGGTGCCAGACACCAGAATGGGATCCTTGTAACCCGCGGCTTTCACGTCGAACAGGCCGCCGAAACCGCCGATAGATCCAAAAGTACCGGGACGCTTGGTGGAAGAAGTGGCTGGTTTGATGGCCGACACGAGGTCGTCGCCGGCGTCTATGCTTACGCCGCTGCTTTGGTATGTCAACCGCCCTTTCTGCAAGATAGATCTGCGAAGTTCGTTCGATAATCTCATGCGATTAATTTGAACGCGAATCTTGGGAAGCGAGTCTAGAAAAATATACCTAGCGATCCCTTTGTGCGCGATGTCCGTCCTGAATTGCTTCCCGTCGAAGGATACGTGTTGCGCAGCTTGCGTCGCTCTGGCTGCCGTCAACGCCAAGGTCGGCGCGACGCTCACAGTGATGAGAACTCTCCCACCTGTGAGGACGATGTTATAACTAGTACAGCTTTCATCTACGATCGTCTCGCAAAGTGTCGCAGAATATTTGCTTCTACATGTACCTTCTTCATCTAAGCATCCTTATAATCCTTAAGTCTCTATTTTGAGCTCGTTTTCATAGATAAAGTTGCCTCAGATGTGGCCTCTCGGCCAATCAGCTGGCTCCTACGCCACTTTCAGAGGCACTTTTATCGATAAACGTGAGTTCAGAATACGGAGCTTAGATTCTAGTCACCTCACTGCGTGCAATTACCATTAGTCACTAAATCGCCCGCTGAAACGGCCGTTCCGCAATGGAAGACGAAGTGGTCCTGCCTACTCGATACTTCATCGATGCCGGTTATAACTTGACCCTTGGACGACGACGCCGGGTAGCCGCGAGACGCCAGAATCACACCGACAGCGAACACATCTTCCCTCCACGAGACGCGAGAGGCGTCCAAAGCTCCCTCACAACAAGCCTGTTAGTCCCGTATGTAATCAGATATGTATTTAATCAGATACATCGACGTGAAAGTAAAACGACTGAATATTTTGATTTTTAAGTTACGGTCGATAGTGAACCTTCATGATTGTGAACAGGTCCGATGTCAGTAACGGTAACACCACTTCGGTCTCGGGATCTCCGAATCTGCAATTGAATTCGAGGACTTTCGGACCGTCCTCAGTCAACATCAAACCAGCGTACAAAACACCTGTAACGTCAGTCTCGTGTAAATCAAATATACCGATGGAAATATTTTGCTGAGATACTCCCATCAAGGACTCATATAATCTAACAGGATAGTCGATTAAGCATCACAAACCAACGAACGGAATGTTTTCCTCCCTAAGTCCATCGACAGCCTTCTGGAGAACATTTACTTTCACACGTTCATAGTCATCTTTACTCAACAGCGGACACGGGCAGTAAGCGCCCATTCCACCGGTGTTCGGCCCGGTGTCTCCGTTGAAAATCCTCTTGTGATCTTGCGCAGGCATCATAGGCACCACAGTCCTCCCTAAAAATCAAGATAAAATTCAAGAAGCTGCTCCCGGATATTTCAAAAGAATAATTGAGAATAGATACGAATATGATGTCATTTACCATCCGTAAACGCGAGTACAGACACTTCCTCGCCTTCCAAAAGTTCCTCCACAACAACGGTGTCACCAGCAGCTCCGAATTTCCTGTCAGTTAATATCTCGTCTATCGCTTGGCAAGCTTCCTGCTGGTTCTTGGCCACAACGACACCTTTACCGGCGGCCAGACCAGATGCCTTCACCACAAGTGCCTTAAACGGAGCGCTGGTGTGACCAGAAAGAAGCACAAATTATTCCACACTATCTTTTCCTTCTTTGAGAGACTACTCACGTCTTAACAAACTTCTTTGCATCCACAGCTGATGTGAAACCTTGCCATCTAGCGGTAGGTATACCGTGTCTATCCATAAACTGCTTTGCCCAGTCTTTATCGGCCTCAATTTGGGCCGCTTCTTTCTGTGGTCCGAAACATTTGACTCCCACATCCCTCAGATCATTCGCCAAACCTTGGGACAAAGGATCTTCTGGCCCGACAACCACAAGATCAATATTATTATCCTTGCTCCATTTGGCCACTTCCTGTGAGGAGAAGAGAAAGTACAGTTAATATTATAGGACTGAGAATAAAGAAAGTATACATAAGAAAAAGGAAAATATCAAACTGAAAATCAAGCAGAGAAGAAATTACACGGTAATATGATATAATTTACCTTAGTTTCCTTCACATTAATATCAATCAGTCGCACTTTATCCACCAGTTTGATACCGGCATTTCCAGGAGCAACCAGAATTTCTTTCACCTGCACCGAACAAAGTACATGTTGTGGCAATTTTTAGAACGTAACGTTGTGACCTAACGTTGCTATTGTTATTGATAAATGCACTCACATGTGGCGACTGAGACAGTTTCCAACATATGACGTGTTCCCTACCACCGCTTCCAATCACAAGAACTGTATGCTGCATTTCCTATAAATCAATACTTGTAACATCACAACAAGCTTCGACCTTTATTCATTGTCACTACGAGAGACTAACAATCACTATATATCAATATCAATCGATATCTAAGCTTGGAAGTGTCAAGGATCAAATTGTTGCTGGGTACTCACGTTGCTTTACAATTGCACGATAGAAACACTTCACATGCACACACAATTGCAGCCTTAATTATTTATAATTATCTGCTTTTAGATTACGAAGTATCTATTTAATCATTCACGAGACTCTTAGCGCGCTATCTTTCAAACGAAACGCAGGGTTCCACAGGTGGTCGCAGCGGGACCGAAAATCACGAGTGCGTCCGCGCGACTACTATCAAGGCACGTCGACGATGAGAGCGACGAGAAGACCAATAACGCGCGATAACTTGACCCACCAATCGTTCTTTGCGCAACGAAAGCAACTTGCTGTCTGTGGGGGTCTTTAGCTATTAAAACTCACACATATTATTCGTCCGATGACATGATGACCTTTCGAAATACGCGGGACCTCGACGAAAGTAACGATCTACATTATTACGAGGAATTATTGAAATGTTATCATTACACAAGTAAATACGCGTTCAATACGTCCTCGTCAATACTTCCTTATCTCATATATTATAATATTAATCCTTGTAATCTCTCACTCTTTTATTTTTTTGCATCTTATTCTATTTATGTTTATTACCGCGGAAACTTCCGGGAAAAAATGATTATATATGGTTATATATAATTATATAAAATCATATGTGAATTTATGTGAATATATGTGAATATATGTGAATTTTGCCCATATATGTGACCGTATACGTTTATACGGAAAAAATGATGTTACGTCATTTAATTAAATATCGATATCAGAAGCACAAATAGCCAGAAGCATTTACTTCGATTGTATTTGGATATATTAGGTTGGCAACTAAGTGATTGCGGATTTTGTCGATAGATGATTTTGGCACATTCTTTTGTTTTGTCAACATGTCAAAGCACCTAACCTGTATTGTTTTCTAGTTGTTTGAACTTCTACCTTTAATTAGTAAGAAAATTGTATCGATTAGATATTTAGTTTCGTTTTTATCCCAATTTAAAAATGAAAGAGCAAAACGGGCATTTCAGACATATTTTATTGTATTATTCCCGAAAAGGCAAGAACGCATTGCAAACATACAAGAAGTTATGTGCCGTATATGGGAATGGAGCCTTGAAAGGAAGGCAGTGTCAAAATTGGTTTGCCAAATTTCGTTCCGGTGATTTTTCACTCAAAAATGCGCAACGATCTGGCCGTCCAGTTAAAGTTGGTGAGAGCCATATCGAGGCCATTATCGATTCAGATCGTCATAGCACAACACGTGAGATTGCAGAGAAGCTGAATGTATCGCATACATGCATTCAAAAAAAATTAAAACAGCTTGGCTATGTTAAGAAACTCGATTTATGGGTCCCTCATCAGCTTAAGGAAATTCATTTGACGCAACGCATTAGCATCTGCAATTCGCTTCTGAAACGCAACGAAATTGATCCATTTCTGAAACGACTGATTACTGGCGACGAAAACTGGATAGTTTATAACAACGTTAATCGAAAAAGATCGTGGGTGAAACAGGATGAACCAACCCAGACAACATCAAAAGCTGAGATTCACCAAAAAAAAGATTATGCTGTCAGTTTGATGGGATTATAAAGGAATTCTGCACTTTGAACTTTTACCAAGAAACCAAACAGTTAATTCAAACGTCTACATTCAACAACTCACCAAACTGAGCGATGCAGTTCAAGAAAAGCGGCCAGAACTGGCAAATCGGGAGGGTGTTGTTTTCCAACATGATAATGCAAAGCCCCACACATCTTTGGTCACTCGCCAAAAATTATTGGAGCTAGGTTGGGATGTGTTGTCATATCCACCATATAGCCCTGACCTTGCACTTTCAGATTTCCATTTATTTCGTTCTATGCAGAATTCCTTAAATGGTAAAATTTTTTATGACGCTGATGATGTAAAATCTCATTTAATTCAGTTTTTTGATAAAGAAAAATCAAGTTTTATGAACATGGAATTATGACACTGCCTGAAAGATGGCAAAAGGTCATTGACAAAAACGGACAATACCTAATTTAATAAAGTTATATTTTCAAGTAAAAATTTTGAATTTTCCTTCTTATTTAAAATACGCAATTACTTAGTTGCCAACCCAATAATTTGTACAACAGTATTTTCTCGTTGTGGACATACGTGATTATGTACAGTCATATATATATATCATAAATTTTATATACGATCTTTTTTTTTTCCAGGGATGTTTCTATACTATGATTTTAATATTTAGGAGCGTGATATTATCAAGTGTAACAGTTTAAAAATATTTATAAAATATTATATCAAAACGTTTATAAAATCCAGATAAAATCGATGTTTCAAAAGATTGATTTAATGTTTCTTGTTTGCTGGGATAGCTCTCGTGGTGCGGGTTTGTCAACTTTATTAAAGAAAAAAGAATTAAGCACGGAAACATCTCAACATACGCAATCTAAAGCTGATCGTGAGAAAATTCTCACGATTTATTTGTAATTCTAATATTTGGTTGATTATATTAATATATACTCACGAATTTTGAAACAAGTTTAAACAGTGAAAAGGGATTAAGTAAGCAATAAATTTAACGTCACGTACTTGTGAACTTACGTATGCAAACATAACGTTCCCGTACGATGAGAGAGAACTCGACACAGTTCTTAACGATATTATTCCGAGATCATTTCGCGGTCAAAGGTCGCGCACGTCACTCTTATCGAGATTGTTGTAACATGTTTGTACTACAAGCGAGCAATGTGCCGCGTGCGATAAAATTTCTGTCTTGACGCTGCTTTATCTGAATTCTTTCACCGGTTCGAGAAAACATCTTTACAAGCTGCGGTAGCCAATCGATGCAAGACGCGCCACGAGTATGAGATTAATCCAATTAAAAATTTATTTCTTCCAAGTTATGCTCTATTCGTGGCGTGTTCAATCGATTGGAATATATTCTTATATTCCATGCACAAAAAAAATATTTCAACTCTGATGAGAAACGAAATATTTCGTTGAGAATAATAACAACAAAATTCGACTTCCTCTCTGAGAATCGTGAGAAGTAAATTATAAAAAATTAAAAAGGCACATTTTCGGGCCTGAATTGTATCGAAAACAATGCATATCGATATCATTGATTGACGCAAATCCGCGAAGTTCGTCCGCTAGATTATATTTTGTTTGGACGACGTTCGCATCCTCCGGATTATACGCGGTCGCAGCGAGACGAGCAATGATTAAAACAATAGCCCGACGTGATAATACGGAAGTATTGTCCTCGAAGTAATAATCGCGCGGACGAGGAAGTGGCAGAGACGAGTTGCCCAAGTGTGAGTGTGTCATGTTCGCCGCCGTGAACGGCAGACTCACGAGCCGGCTCTTCTGGTCGCACGGACTGGCGCCCATTCGCGAAACGAGGTTGGCATTGAGAACGCAAAAGCCCACGAGACCGTCGCCCGAGGAAAATGCGGCGATTGTTGCCGAACGCGCGGAAACCAAAGAGTGCAAAACGCCACCGAAAGTTAGTCATTCCATCCGAGGATACTTACAAATATAACAGAAAAATATACAGGGTGTCTATCGCAAGCTGTCAAACAATAACCTGTAGTTTAGGTCAATATAAACAAAAGAGTCCTCTATTTTATGAGTTCTCGTGAAAAATTTCGAGTTCACTATTGATAATGGCCATGCATAGAGGATTCTTTAATGAATAGCTCAAAATCTGCATGGTTATTTGCAAAATGATGCAAGACTTTTTTGTACAGGATGGCCTAATCTACAATTGTATAGTGACAGTTGTTATATTTAGCTGTTGAATTATGTTTTTCGTTACATGAAGATCACATCTCTTAGATTGTCGTTTCACATCTTTCTGAAAAGCTGGGTCTACAATGAGAATATAAGCTCTTAAGAAATTGGCCAGTCGCAGACGATTATTCTCCTCACATTCGATTGTGATTGGCCAGTCAATTTCTTAAGGCTTAGAGCCTTAAATTCTCGTTGTAGACCCCAGCTTTAAACAATCAAAAAGCTCGAGCCGAGGCTACAGTTTGGAATCGGATCTTTCGCAGGATTTGAAGATTGGATCGAGACTTCAGACCGTTCGGGTTTATCGATGGAACCCGGAAAAGCCGAAGGTGAAGCCGTACATGCAACAGTTCGTCGTGGATCTGAACAAGTGCGGCACGATGGTGTTGGACGTGTTGGCGTTGATCAAAGCGGAACACGATCCAACGTTGTCCTTCCGCCGGTCTTGTCGCGAGGGCATCTGCGGCTGCTGCTCGATGAACATAAACGGCGTCAATACCTTGGCTTGTGTAACGTAATTAATTCACCGTCGGAACTCTTCGGTACAACTCGCCGTCGTGATTCTCGGCATTGATGAATCGGACGGCGGGAATTTCGAATTTTCTGGACCGATGATCCTTTTGACATTTGGACGTCAATTTGGAGCAGTCGCAGCTCCAAATGTCTGGGGATGATCGACATTTCGATGGATAATTGGTGCTTGAAACTTTCGGCGCATTCGGAGATATTCGGATACCTGAAATTGTTCAAACGATTAATCCGACTTCAATTTCGCACATTCCCAAAATGGAGTTATCCATACACAGCACTCTCCCTCCGAGACTAAATAAAGCAATTAGGATACGATTTTCCTGCTCGAATAGCGCGTAATATTTCCATCGGGAGTTCGCTTAAAAAACAAAATCGCCCAAATCCTCAGAAAAATAAAGGAATCCTCGAAACCGCTGGTGGTTTACCCTCTGCCGCACGCCTACGTGATTCGAGACCTGATACCGGACTTGGGGCAGTACTTCGAGCAATTTCGAGAAATCGATCCGTATCTGAAGCGGCCGGGCGAGGACAATTTCCTCGGTATGCGGCAGGTGCTGCAAAGCACGCGAGACAGGAGGAAGCTCGACGGTTTGTACGAATGCATAATGTGCGCATGCTGCACGTACTCGTGTCCTCCTTACTGGTGGCTCGGCGACAAGTATCTGGGACCGTCGGTTCTTCTGCAGGTTAACATGAATAAGTTAATAAGTATCCGAATTCAGTCAATGAGCGCGTCAACAATTGTATCGGATATGATGAGACAATACGAAAGTATCAGTACAAAGGATACATACGGTTTTGTTTAAATTGCTAGGCGTACAGGTGGGTGATAGATTCGCGGGACTTGGCGCATAAAGAGAGGCTGGCGAAGCTACGGGACTTTTACTCGGTTTACCGATGCCGCTCGATCTTCAATTGCACGAAAACCTGCCCGAAGGTGAGCCTCCCGTAACTCGCCGTCACACTTCCTACGTTACGAAAACGTCTGTGCGCTCCAAAATATTCCGCGTCGAGCGGCCTCCGAGTCTCTCCCAGGAGACACGAGCTACGTTCAAACGCAGATTAATTGTTTCACCACATTTTTAGGGCCTAAATCCGGGAAAAGCGATAGCGCAGCTGAAACGATTGCTGGCTGGACTTACGGAGAAAGAGAAACCGGACATCGAGACGCCGATCCCAAACCCCTGCCAAGGTGAGGAACAGTATCCGTGTAAGAAGAATTGAAAAGGTGTGATACGATTCGTTAAACCGGAGGGGTTTTTTTTTCTATGTCTTCCTCTTTATTGTATGCTATTGTCTATCACTTTGAGCAAAGAGCTTTGCACTTACAATAACAATAAACTCATCTTGTCACTATATGTATAAAAGCTCGTAAAAGCCGTAGTCCGTAGCGCGATATACGGTGTAGTTGTGTATACTAAGATAAATTATAATACTCTCATAGTCTCCGTACGCACCCTCGTTGCGCTCAACTCGACACAAACCGTGATTTCTTAATCGTACTTTGCTTTACTTCTCTGAAGATCGCAAATAAAAAATTACAGTAAATAAATCTGTGGTCGCGGAGCTTTCTAATTTTCACACAAACGCGTTGTATATCATCTTATATACAAAGTGAGTCCCGAGCAAGAAATCTATAAATTTCTATTTTCCAAGTCAAAATGAAGTATTAGTCAGTTATTATGTGTACACTTTATTACAGCACCGTTTCTTACGCAGCTATCGTATACTAAGTTAATCACAGTTACACATTGTCGTTAATAATGAAAGGCACCGAATACTGGCAGGGTACTTTGTATTTTTCTCTTCTTGGTAAAATTTCTGCCACAATCGACTTAAGTGTTAATGTTTTGATCTTCGAACGTATATATTCCAAGCAGAGATATTTAAATGCTTGATATCGTGTCGGAGAAAAATTATTCTACATATAAACAGGTAACTATGAGATCACAAAATAATCAACGAGACATCAGATCCCGTTGAGAAAATACTTAATATTTCTTTTGTACTGATTCATTTAATTAGAAGACATATTCGAAATATATTCTTGTATATACTTCCCGTCAGGTACGTGTATCTTTTTTTTTTTCACACGTTAAGCCGCGCACGTTTCTCCGGCGGCAGGCAGATCTCGGGACGCTCTCTGCAGATGTTGGAAGGTGGTATGTTCTCGTTATTTTCTGCGAAAATTAACGAATGTATGATGCTGTGCATGTTAGAATCTCTCAGCCAAGAATGCAGCAAAATCTGATGGATCGTTATACGCTTGTTCGGTTCCACCGTCAACATACACCTGATCTGAAATAACGTTTTATTAATACTTAACATTATTAAGGGCGTTAATAATGATCAGTGCTTGTCTTAGATGATTTCATCTTCATCTAGATGAAGATGAGATGATTTTGCTTTTGATTTATCTAGATAAAAGATACGTGGCGCTATTTATCTACATAATTTTTTAGATGATATTGTTTTCATGAGACTTTATAAAAATGTATAATAAAAATTATGTAGATCATAAAGTTGCATAATAGTTTAGTAATTCGTCAATGTAATCACTCTAAATTTGAGGATCTGACAAAAGACCAATAATCACTGACTGCTCGCTAATCGCTGTGTTTTCTGAACGCAGTCATTATTTCGGTCTTCTTTTATAAGGTCATTATTATAAAGTCATTATTTTTAAGCCTTCCATTCTATTATTTTTTCTAGTCTATTATTTTTTAAATTTTCTTTATAAGTCTTTTATAATTCTTTTATAATTCTTTCCTAAAGTCATTACTTCAGTCTTCTTTTATAAAGCCCATATCATAACACGTATAAAGCCCATATCATATTTTTTATCTAAGATGAAGAGGAATATACTTTATATCTTCCATCTAGATGAAGATAACCCATTAACTTGGGCGGTTATCTAGATAAATTTATCTAGATACTGGCAAACACTGTTAATGATTGATGATTATATACCAGATCTTGAGCTTCTTGTGACACATGTTCGAAATGGGGCTTGCGGAAGGAATAGATTCCATATCTGATCTGTTGTTCCAAAGTATAACGTCTGCTTCCAGGGCTGAAAGGTAGTACACCACTTAAGCAGGCGTACAATATTACTCCTAGGCTCCACACGTCGACCTAGAAAAAAGATTTCCGGTTCAACAAACACGATTCCTTTCCATTTATCACATCGTGTGGAGACACACTGACACACACTTGATTCGTATAAGAGTTACGTCCGAGGTTATTCAAAATCTCAGGTGCAACATACATAGGAGTGCCACAAAACGTTTTCATCATAGTCTGAGTGTCGACTAACTTCGCGAGGCCGAAATCGGATACTTTCACCACAGTAATATCCGAATTGTCCGCTAACAATATATTCTCCGGCTGTGAAATTATTGTAAAATAGAATTGAAACCTTCATCGGATATCCGCTATCAGTAAAATATCAGATACAACGTTTCGGAAAGATACCTTCAAGTCTCTGTGTGTGATACCCTCTTTGTGCAGATATTGAACAGCGAGTATAACCTGATAAAATATCAGTTTTGCGCACGACTCTGACAATTTGCCCCTGCTTCTGATTCTCTCCAGGAGCTCACCGCCTTCCATTAATTCAAGTACAATGTATACTGTTGTCGGTGTATCATGGATGTCTTCCATTCGAACGATACATGGCTAAAACAAACATCCTTCTTTTAATACCGGCATTAAGGAACCACCGGACAGAAAGATATACATCAATTGAACTTACATGCTTTAACTTTCGCAATATCTCAACTTCATTTCTAATTTTCTCCGGGTTATTGAGTTGATTGATCCTTCCGTTGCTACTGAAGTCGCATTTCTGTATGGTTTTCATGGCGAATTTCCTGGTACCGTCCTTCGTAAATATTAATCTCACCTCGCCGCAAGCACCAGACCCCAGTTTATAACTTTGCGCATACCTCCGCTTCAATTCCAACGGTAACTTGTTACCTTCAGGCCTGATCATATTTTCAAATCTGTAAACTGTGATTTATAAAATAGATTCTATCGCACCTGTGTATCTGAGATCAACCTGTGCAATAAATTCTACCATATAAAGTAACAATGATTATCATAATTAACGTGATTACTTGTGAGCGAAGCTTTGGCCAGCGAAATTTCTGATTTGTCGTCAATAATAACACGTTTCCCGTAACCGACGATAACTTTGTCGACGAAAGTGCCGTTGCGGCTATTGTCCTCGAGATACACTATGGTCTCATTGGTGTTGTTAATACGTTCGCGATATATGCGGCAGTGTACCTTGCTCATGCAGTTCAACAGGTTTTCGCGAACTGACTGCGAAGTTATGCAAATATCACAAGACTCTGCACGTCCCAGAGTATACACATCCCCGGACATATCTGAAAAGGTTTGAACATGGGAAATAAGAAGTTCTCTATAAAATCTCGTGTACATCATGAACGACGATAGAGTGTATTAAATAAGATATTTTGTATCAAGATATCTCTTAATTCTATACCTTATTAAATTACTATATTAATTATATATTTTTTTTTCTATTGTCCACAAATTATATACAATTTTTCCTATGCGTAAAGACAGATACATACTTATATCTTTGAAATGTGCTCGTAATGAACACAATCTTCCCCAGATAGCCAATGTTGGCTGTTGGCTTAACGCGTCTTGCGACTGTGTCAACGCTGCGTCGTCCACATTTTGCGTGTCGGGCTGACTGCTCGGGATATATTCCTGCGACGTCATTTCTGCTTGGCTCGTGTACGTTCGTTGTAAATATCAAATAAATATGCCAAATGAGGGGATGTGTGAAAGACGATCGTTTGTTATGCTGCTCAGTGAGGACAAAGCCGGCGACCGCTAACCCATTTTCGCCGGTGTCGGTCAGCGGAGTCGGTCTCTCGTGATCACGATGACGGTTGTTCTCAGAAGGCGGCAGGTTTCACGTAGGATGAAGATTAAATTATTCAATAACACTCGAAAAGTTGCGGCGAATCGTCGGCCCGACGTCCCTCGCGTACACAAAAGAAGGATGTAGCAAAATGGCGCTAAAAGTTCGCGCACTGTTTCGCACATTTCCGTCGGCAAATCCGCATTTGACATTATCAACCGTGTATAACCTCGTTGTTGTGTGCAATCCTGATTATCGACAGATACATAACAAAAATTTATATATATGAGTCATTCGTGTATCTGATATTATTCAATTAGAAAGTGTTTTTCGTGACTCCAGTTCTAAAGAAAAATACAAATTACAGTTAAATGTTCTCTTTTCCAACATGATTTCATATAATTGAGCAAAAACATTTCTGAGGTAATCAAGATGCGTTAATATTCAAATAATAATCTAATAACTTATAAACAACTATATCAATTTCTACCAGAACCGTCTAAAAATGATTCAGCAAGGACGATGACATTAATATATAGTATTACATAACTTGTTTCTCTTCTCCCTTCGCCTCGTTGACTATAATAACTATCAGAGAAAGACACCTTTCTCTACGAAGGAGCTGTTAGCTTTCTAGGATCTCAATAAACGGCCGCCAATCGTTGTATATATCACAAATGACGAAGAATACTTTATTATATAGGACTACTCGTTGGTATTATCATTTCCCAAGCAGGTAGAAAGCGATAGAGTCGCAGAAGCCATCGTGACGGATTTATGAAAGGCGACTAATAACATAACTTTTATTACATCATCTACGTAATTATAAACACGCACAATAGGTGTTTGGTAATGCGTTTCTCTCACTTACAATGCTATATTGCTAGCTCTTGCCCTAATCGTACTATAAAATACTGTCATGCATGTAGATTAATACGTACTTGCAGAGTTTTCAGAGACTTAAGCCTACACTGCTCTCTCTCTCTCTCTCTCTCTCTCTCTCTTTCTTTCTCTCTCGATTAAGAGAGGACTACGGAAATTCTAGCTCGCAGGGCAACGGAAAGTGATCGCGCGTTTGCAACTAATTGAACGGATCAATTAAGGACTACCTGCAAAACGTGAAGAGAAAGAGAGATTTTAACTCCATTCTGAGAAATGTTGTGAATCACAGGTGATGTATATAGCATAACGATCACACGACTCAGTGACAACTCTGTTTATTATTCATCAAAATAATTTAGTACCACATTAAGTGAGAGGTATCTTATCTTCAGAGGGCGGGCGGGGTGGGGGGGGGATCGTTTTTTCTTGGCCAAAGGCTGAACGAGAGAGGGGGAAAAGCAGCAGGAAAAGAAAGGTAGCAGACAGTGAGAGAGTGTTACTGTTTGAAAAGATCACCCTTGAAATCAAGCGTTTCAAGGTTTCGATTATAGATTCGCAGATTTTTTTCTCCCTCGTGCTTTCTCTTTCTTCCCTGCTCTCTCTTTTCGCAACATGCGCAAAGAATGATCTCTTATCGAATATATCGGACGTGTCTCGTGGTCGTGTGTGTCGATCAACTGTTAATTACATCAATCGTGTCTCTTGCAGTTTTATTCCCTTATTTTCCTTCTAACGTCTACATTTCTTTATGTCTGAGCTACCGCTAAATAGTAGTTAGAACTAAAAAGTACAGCTAGTAAACTTCTCTTGGAACCCACGCAATGAACTAATGCGCTCTAAAACTTCCGTACATGTAGTATGCATTACATTTTATGCGTTACATTTTTACGCGCGATTTACCCCCCAGCTTATCGCTCGAATGCTTTAAATTTCAATGTCGCATTTTCTCTCTTTCTTCCTCTCTCTCTCTCTCTCTCTCTCTCTCTCTACATATATATATATACACACACACACATATATATATATATATATAGTTTCAGCTGTGCCTATTATAATATATCGTTACTGTTAATAATGCACGGTGATTGGACGCCAAGTACGTGGCGAGAAACCTATCCATTCCATCGTGGTTCTTCGTTTTTTTTTTGAGCACGCTTTTCTTCACTAAGACCTCGTCAGGAGCGACCTCATTCATTTTTTCCAGATTTTACACGTTTCTCCGAGACAAAAGTTAAATGACCAAACGACGCCGCCGTGCGCACGCTTGCGAAGCCTTCGAGTTGCAAAAATTATCGATTGACGACATTTCACGGGCTCCGCGAGATTCGATTATACATAAACATATGTAAAACATAATGGAATTTACATATCGTAGCCAAGGGACACGTTCTCTCGACAAAGAGTTCACTACACAGTAACATGTGATGAGAGTACCCGTTTTCTTTTTTCTTCCGCGACTGCGACAGTTCGCGATCGTTTTATCCCGCGTTTCTTACTCGTACCCTTAATCGTCGCCTTACCGACTTATCCGTCATCCGAGCTACGTTACGCGTTACGTGTCCCACAAAAAGGAATCTTCATTAATGCGACGACAGGTGTAATATTAACTCAATACTTATCAAGGGTACACGTGAGCCGATATTAGACGACCATTGACACTCGGTACTTTGCACAAAGACGCTGCGCGTCTAATACATATGTGTCTCTCTCTCTCTCTCTCTCTCTCTGTGTGTGTGTGTGTGTGTGTGTGTGTGTATCGTGTGTGTGTAAATTTTTCATATATATATGAGTGAAGAAGAAGCGGCACATCCTGTTCTTCATTATTATATCAAGAACTCTCGAGGAGAGCGCGCGAAGATAGTGACAACGAATTTACCAGTTTACCGCGGAGGAGGGGGTGACGCCACAGCCGAAATATTCGCCACCGTCGACAAATTAAAAGAAATTCGACACAAGTTCGTTCGCAACAAGATCATAATCGAGGAGGACGATCTGCTTTTTCTCTCTCTCCCTCTCTCTCTCTCTCTCTTTGCTCGTGTTGTTTGTGTGACAGCTGGTAACTAATATACTTCAACGGATATATAGATCAGCGAGTAACAAGCGGGCGAGAAGAGGAAATCAAAACGGCGGCTGCTCGTACATCGACTCGTCGAATTTCGCGCTGCGCGAAGGACACGTATATATGTACAGAATAATAATGCCTACGATTGCACAACTGTCTAAAAAGGGAATTATAACTCTTGTAATTGTATATGGCATTAACCCCCACGTGATATCGTAGGTCGTAACGAGAACTCGGGAGCGTCCTCTCGATCGTTTGATCCTTATATTTATTGACCGTCTCTCTCGATTCACTCTCCTCGAATTTTTTTCTCCTATCTCTCTCTCTTTTTTTTTAGTGCAGTTCATTGCCGTAAAACGATGTTTGTAATATTATAATAATTACTCTAATTATACTTTTATTATAAATTAATTAAAGAGCTCTTAATCATACGTGTTTATGTGTGTTTTTCTTTATATATAATAATAATAATAATAATATTAATATTAATAGCATGTATACGATAGCTTTTGTAGCAGCTTACTCGTTCGGCCGATTCCATCAAAAATGGACGCGCTTTCGTCTTTTCTTGTTTCTTCTTTATCTTCTTCTTCTGTACGTCTGTACTCTCCCGCACGACGTCCGACGGAAAATCTATAATTCGGTGACTAGCGGCACTCCCAAATCTTCACCGTTTGATCGACGCTCCCGGTGACCACGTAAGGATGGCTCTTGTGGAAATCTGTATGGTATGTACGCGACAAGTGTGAGTCAATCGAGCATGCTCATTAATTTTCGGCCATGTCAGAGAAAGTAAGAGACTCGATGAGTACAAACCGACAGAGGTGCAAAAATGAACGTGCGCTTCGAGGGTCTTCATCACTCGTTTGTTGCGCGTGTCCCAGACTCGCAGCGTCTTATCGTCGGACGCGCTGACGATAAACTTGCCGCCAGGATGGAAGACGATGCATCGTACCCAGTTGTCGTGCCCGACGAGGGTAAAGAGGCACACCCCGGCGCCGACGTCCCACACGCGAATCATCTTGTCCCGAGAACCAGACGCGAGGAAGGGCCCTTCGTGCGCACCTTTGTTGTCCGCTCCGGCCGCCGCGTTGATCGACGCTCTTGCGCTCTCCGGTGCCCATGCGATGCACTCCACCACGTGATCGTGATCTCTGAACTCGACCTGCCGACCGACCGACGGTTTTACACGGTTGCGAATCAACTAAGCGAGGGAAACTAATTCTGTTTATTATTCTAATCTACTAATCGGGTCTTGCACCTGATTACTATATTTAACAAAATATTTAAAATCCTACAATTTTCCCACTTATTGTCTACCTTATTGTTTTTATTCTTCTTTTCGATATAGAATATCTGATAGTCTCATCGGTCAACACCTGGCGAATTCGCTCACTCTTTTAATTTCCACTATCTAATCTTGAGATACGCACACGATCCCCCGATCGAATCGTACGCTACGCTTTCCTACAAGTAATTAACCGTCCTCGTGGAATTACCTTGGTCTCCTTCGTCGCTACGTGCCACACGCGAACGGTCTGATCGTTCGAGCAGCTGGCGATGAGCTCGCCGCACGGGCTGACTCGCGCCATTCTTACCCACTCCCTGTGGCCGACGAGGGTCTTCACGCAGTATCCCGTCGCCACCTCCCAGATCTTGATGGTCTTATCCCTAGAGGCGCTCACTACGAAGTCACCCTGTGGCACAAACGCGACCGAGTTGACGTTGTGATCGTGGCCGTGCATGGTTTTCACGCACGCGAACGACTGGTGGAAGTCCCACAGCTTGATGGACATGTCCGCGCTGCAGGATACGAGCAGCTTGCCCGAGACGTCGAACGCGACGTCCTGCACGCTGTCGGTGTGGCCCTTCAGCGTTCTCTCGAATTCGCCGCTCTCGAAGTCCCATACCTGGAAGAGGCGTGAAAAAACGATGACGGCGATGAGGAGGAGCGACGACGGAGGGTGAAACCTTCTCCGCCTCTATTCGGAGGTCAGAGGTTTCACTCGTCGGAAGATCCTATCTCACCTTAATGGTAGCATCTTCACTGGCGGATACTATAAGACTAAAAACCGGATGGAAAATAACTCTATTAATGGGGGCTCTGTGTCCGGTCAGACTGTACTTCTCCGGCGGCCTCGGTATCCATTCGGACGGCGATCGCTTGCCGCGCGTCGGTGCGCCTTCTATAAACTCCTTCTCCGCCTCGGAGAGCTTCGACTCGAGCTCCATCACCTGCGCGGGGGGGAGAGAGAGAGAGAGAGAGCGTGTTTCAAAAGTGAGCTCGGGGGGAGACTTGAGGAGAATTGAAAATTAATATAAAATACAGAAACGATATCCTCGTCCTTCTGCGCGCACGACGGCACAGAATCGAGAGAAAACGACGAATTCTGAAGAGGGAAGGAAAGGATATCACCTTCTTCTGCAATCGTATGACCGAGGTCCACTTTTTCTCCAGCAGACCCCCGTACTTCCTCTCCACCTCCCCCGGCATATCGGCTTCCTTTTTGAATGCCTCCAGTGCATCCTGGTAGCCATTGGTGCTAAGGTAATCCGCGATCGCCTTATTTCTGAAATCGAGTTAAAACAAGCTCTTGTAAGAAATTACGTTAATTATGTTAGTTTTATTACGTTAATTATGTTAGTTTTATTACTTATATGCGAGAGAGAGAGAGAGAGAGAGAGAGAGAGAGAGAGAGAGAAAGATATTTGTTTTCGCTCTTAGGGTTGAACCTCCTGAGAGAGAGAGAGAGAGAGAGAGAGAGAGAGAGAGAGAGAGAAACTCGAGTGATGAACGCACTTGTCGAGCTTTACTTTCGACGTAAGTGTTCCTCATCGGTACACATTTTCCCACCAGGTGCAGCTGCGGGAGACCGAAGGGGGGAGTGGAGTGGATGTGTGTTGCACGATAGCTTTAATCTCCAATTGTTTCGCGTTGGTGGCCCAACCGACTGATCGCCGTCTGTTTATGACGTAGATAAAGATAAAATGCTGTGCCCGCGCACCGATACAATGGGCGGAGGAGGAGGAGGAGTAGGACGAGGAGGCCGCAGGTTGTCGGATACGTGGGAAAGAGATTGAAAGTCGGGCAAACTTGTGCCAGGGTGAAAGGCCTCGCTAGTCGGTCGGCCGTCCGTCTCTATTCACCCAACTCTCCACGTGATAGCGAATAATCGCCAGCGCGGTTCGCGCCGCGCTCGCACCGCCTCGTGATCCTCGGGTTGTTTTGCAACAACCGGCCGCCGCGTCGCGGCACACGTGGTGCGAGAGAGCAGAGGCGATGCTCCGACGCTTACAGGTGTATGTACCGGAGATACAAAGAAGGAAAACACACAAGAAGATGAAGAAGGGGGGCGCACTGAAGCTATTTCTCGCCTGAGCGGAAAACACGGTACCGTTCGCTCCGTACCGCGTTGACGACTTCTTCTTCTTTCCTCTATTTACTTCCGCCTCGGTGTATGCACACCAGCACTTCGAATCCATTCATTTTAATGAACGAACGTTCATCCTTCTCACTCTGATTCTACGGCAGGATTGGACGTTTTCTCTGGGAGAAACACGAGACTGAAACTGAGAATACCGGGACGTACATGCTGAAGATAGGAATCATTCGTACAAATTAACGCACTCTTCAACGCGTTATTTCAATTAAGTTAGGGTGTGGGAGTGCCGGTGCCTGGGCATATACTTAGGTCTGGGTATTCTTGCTGTTTTCGGGCCGAGCTGCAAAAATATTGGGATCCATGAGATCCAAGTACTATTTTGGGGTGATTGGGACCTAAGGAACTCGAAAATCTATAATTAGAATTTCCCGACCAGCCGTTTTTCTTCTTCGGAAAAATAGTCGGAACGTCTACCTTGAGTGACACCTGGCGTACACCTGGCGAATCATATCACAACGGGAATTGTCGTTTTCGACGATTTGGACTCTTTGGCAACAATACCTCATCATTGTTTTTTTAATTACATGCATTTGCTGGTTCTTACACTAAAAGAAAATTGCTATGTTCAAGTAAACATGTGCTAAGGAATATTGGAGTAGTTTATTTTAATTGGATCAAGCAGACATTACTTGAATATAGCATTTTTTTTCTTTCTTCAGTGTGCTTTCTTTCTTCAGTGTGCTGCATTCAGATTTATCACAAGTGCTATTTCATGCACATATTCTTTTATTTCCACATATATCGTGATATATTTTGGCATGCGATTTCTCGCTTCTGACGTCATCGAACAAAGACAAGCCAAAGTGAGAACACAAGAGCCTTAAAGGCCAGGAACAACAAGAATGTTCACTGTTAAACGCGCGTCCAAGTATTGGTATTTTTAAATATCAGCGGAAGAAAATGCTTGCAATTCGCGTGTAACCACCGATTGTGAGAACACTTTGATTTTTGCGCACAGAAAAAAAATTAGTCTTATATCAAGAATTACAGATATTCCCATATATATAAGCAAGAATACTATAACATTCTTCGATTTTTAGCCTTGAATTGAGTTCAAATAATAATACCCGCATCGATACAATACAAAATTCAATCAGACGAAGAGTAAAAAAAATTTTCTAAGAAGATCATAATACTCTCGCTTGCATATGAAAACACCTATTCTCGACTGATTTCCCGATTCCGTTCAGACGATTTTTTTTTTTTCGGCACGCGAATCAATCTCGCTTACGTGCCAGCTAATGACACGGTAAATTAAGAGCTCACTCGCCATGAAATTCCGCTTTGATCAATAGCGAACGAGCGTGTAACGACAGAGAGCGGCGAACAATTTCGAGCGCCACCGAAGAGGACGCGGCATATCAATAATTCCATAAGGTTCCTCGGCCGAGAAGAAGGGGGGGGGGGAGGGGGGGTGAGAGATTCCCATCGGCAACTGAGATGAGATTTATCCGTCGCTAATTGCGGCCGGTAATTGTAACGAGCGCGGAGAATACGAGCCGCGGATATTAAATGCGGGGCCTCGACGCTGCCGCAGTATCTAATTTGCTCGCTCGCGCGGCTAATTACGTGCGTGATTTGCGGAAAATTCAACCCGCGAATGTGGATAATGACAGAGGGGCGATTCGTAAGGAGCGTATCGCGGTGAGAAACTTTATATCGCTCACGCACAATGACGCCTGCACGCAGCGGCGGCGGCGGCAGGTGCGCGAGCGGAAAAGAATAGTTCAAGGAGAGGCGCAGGGAGGCAGGGATCATTGTCTCCGTGAGTGCGGAAGGCGCTCACCTGTCGTCCCTCGAACATTCCTGCCAATTCATCGAGCTTGCATAGAGAGAACGTAGCAGATTGGAAAATCATTCTGACTCCAGGCCGACCGATAATACCGAATAATTGAACCGCTCGAGCGAGTAATCTGCGACGAGCGATCGGAGAGGATGGATAATTGATATATCCTGGGACAGACGAATCCGGAACTGAGAATGCGTTCGCGTCATCCGATAAGGACGCAATTTAAACAATAAGACGGCGATGAGAGGCGAGTAAGAGCGCAAAAGCGCAGATGGTGTGGCGCGAGTGTTTCGATCTTGGAGTACTCGCGCACTTAAATGCTGGGGGAAGGGGGGGGGGGTAGTAAATATTCGACATCTTCGAAGCTTCGGGATTTATGTAATATTAGAGGTACCCATAAGTAATGTAATGACACCTGTCATCCGTGCGACCATTGTAGGATTGATGTTATAAATATCGTGGGAAATTTATCGATCGAACGTTGCGGCCCCTAAAATTTGGTCAACCTTCAACGCATTACTTCTACGACATCAAGTCTGCTCAGTAATCGTAATCTTAATATAATCCTACACAGTACCTCCTCTCACATATAGTTTATGTTTTCTGTCAATAGAAAGCTGAAGAGGGTCGAAATTTCAGGGAGCGAAACGTTCGATCGATAAATGTTATAATATCGGCAGCATTAAATTACTCGTTGTAGCATCTGCCGTCTCTTGCTTGCCTTTTACTGCTATTCGATCGTCAATCACCAGGGAGCCTTTAAATTTCGATTTCCGAACGAGATACGTACATATCTGTGACAAGAGTGCGATTTAAACAACGAACGGGAACAATTGTATAGACAAATGAGAGCACACTGGAATCGTACGGGAGGAGATTAAAAGCCAGACGCGCCGACGCGCAGAACGAAGACCTCGTGGAGCCGAGTGTAACGTCGAATCGAACGAATTCGATTAACGGAGAAGATAATACGACGCGGAATCTCGCTTCTCCCGCGATGAGAGTTACCTCGCGTAATACTTAATAGCGCATCATCGAGCCGTTCCTCGGCGCGAACACGTCGCCCGCGGGGGCTCAGCTCTCGCGCAACCATGCGAAAGTTATGGCATTCGAAATTCGCCGTCGATGCCGGTGATCGATACGTGAGAGCGAGAGAGAGAGAGAGAGCAAGCAAGCTTGAATTTATATTCCAAGGCGGCTCTAGCTTTAGAACCAACGTTGGAATTCGCTTTGTTGAAAGAGAGAAAATATTTTACTCAGCGCACTAGCGATATTTACGTTCCCGGTCGATTTGCAAATTACGTTGTCACGGGAATATTTACTTTGCCGCGCCGGAATATTTTCTCTCGCCTCACATTCGAAAGTACGTAATCACACCGGTGATCTATCTCGCGACGTCCTACGCGACGTTCCTCGACATCACAAGAGAGAAAGATAGACAGACAATGAAAAAGAGAGAGAGAGAGAGAGAAACGAGAGTGCGTTTGCACCACTCGCTGGGCGCGAGTACTACACGCGGAGGAACGCTTGCGCGCGCACGATAAAACATCCGAGAGTGCATTTCATCGGAGATAATGCGCCGGCCGAGAGTGCCGAGGAGGAGGAGGTCGTGGAGAAGTAACTCTATCAAACGGAGTGCATACCCGGAATTGGACGCGGACAGAGCGCGTGTCCGCGATGCTCACGTCGATGTTCCTCAAACACAAGTAGTACATAACGAATGCGAGAAACACCTGCGGCAATCAACTGCGCCTCGCGGCCAGAGCCTCTTCTCTTATCTATCTCGCCTCTCCTTTCTTCGTTCTTCGTTACATAAATTAAAGATGGAACGATAGTCGCGAAGAGGAGGCTAGGAGATCGCGCTACCAAGATAGAGAGACGAGGGAGATGCTCGTACCACAAAGGTCGGAGGAAGCAGAAGCAGCAGCGAATATAACGGTACGATAGAACTTTAGTCGAGAGGTGAATTTTTTTTCCCTCTTCCGCGCGCGCGCCGCAGCGCGCGATGAATTATGTGAGGTGTACCGGAGTGGTCGCGAAGAATGCGCGCAGATCGAAGAGGTCCTGAGGCGATTATCCTCGTTTTCCGGGATCTCTCTCTCTCTCTCTTTCTCTCTTGTGAGGCGGACTGCGTGAAAACGGATACTCGAGGAAGGCGGCAAACGGAAGGTAATTCATCCGTCTGGCCCTCCGCGCGTAAAACAACGACGCTGACATCAAGGTGAAGCCCGGCTCGGCCCTCGCTGTATCTGTTACGCTCGAGCCTCACGAGAGCGAGCACGCTCTCAGCCTACGGTCGATTTTTCCCCGTCTGCAATTGCAAGCCTTTCATTAGAATTGGGCTTAATCTCTCGCAATAAAAATCGCGTGAAACAACGTAAGTCGCCCCGGCATCAATGGAAAGTATCGCAAGAGCGCTGCGCCCCTCCCCCCCGAACATTTTCTCTCATTCACGTTTGCGGTTACCGGAGTCGCAGCTGCGACATTTCCCATTCGCACCATCCTAGTTACACCGTCCGGTGGAAAATCATCACCGAATGTAAGGCCTGTATTAATAGTTGTTATTTGAAACTCGCCTCAAGTGAAAGATATTCAAATTTCCATTCATAATTATGTGATGAAAGATTTCAGTCGAATCGCGGTTATACAGATATTACGCTGGTTTTTCATCTTCTGATCAACCCTTTTTTTTTTAATGATTTAAGCCTATATTTATCATCGGTTAAGGCCGATGATAAAAATTATATTCTTCTATTCGTTCATTTCTATTCATTCATTCTATGGTTAATCACTAATGTTTAAAAGTTGCCACTACAAAACTATCGGTTTAATGGTTAACCATAAATAGAAAAACACGATCTTTGCATTATCATCAGTTTAAGCCACAGTTTAAGCCGCAAAAGTTAACCAGAAAATAGAAAACCGGGCCGTAATATTGTAAGATAAAAATACCAATGCCTGGACACATATTTAACTGTGAACATTCTTGTTGTTTTGGTTTTTAAATACGAATGTTTAATCTTTAAACACCAATTATTCGTATACATTCAATATATGTACATATATTACGTATTCTATGTTAAAAGTTTCCTTACTACATTCTACGTTGAAAATTTAGATATTCGTTATTTAAAGACTAAAAAAAGAAGAAGAATGTCGAGTACGCGTCAACGCTGCATTGCATCGGTATTTTTACCTTGTGTATTACAGGATTAAACTGAAAAATTTATATCTACCTCTGACTTGAAACCTGAATATCTCACGTGAGATAAATCTCGAGTAACGATTATTAATACGGTCTCAGCCATCCGGATTGAACGTATGGACGGATCACAGTGACACCGGTTCTAGAGACAAACACCTTCATCCGGAAGTTCCTCTCTCGACGATGTTAATCGCTCTTCAAACCCCGTCTCAATTTACAGCAAGCCCGGAAGTCACACGCCCGGGATCGTTTGCTAAAAGTTACACGCGTGCGAGTCTCGGGGGTTGAGGAAAATAACATGGATGCAATGGGACACCTGTGCTGATCGATGAGAGCCCTCTCCTTCCAGTCGGAGAGGGCCACGGCTTTTTCCCTCCCTCTCTCTCTCTCTCTCTCTCTCTCTCTCTCTCTCTCTGCCTCCCTCTTCGATTCTATTCTCTTTCTCCCTTCGCTCCGAGGGTTGTTCCGAGAGTTCACCACCGCCGCCGCCGCCGACTCATTCCGTGCAAGTTATCGATCCGCAGTTCGCGCGTGCTCGACAGACACCCTCCTCGCCGACACCCCCACGCTGACGCGCCCCGGCAGGAACGATCCACGAGCGATTTTGCGTCATAGGAAATTAACCGGCATAGATCGAGGATACAATCAATGACGGTGTCCCCGTTCAACGCGTCGTCGTCGGGAGGAAGGCAAAAAGCGCCGGCGAATCAATTATATACAGTCACTTGAATAATCGAACAGCACGATCCGTAGGCTCGCTCGATTCTAGGACGGGATTTTGCAAGAATTGCGACGTTCAACTCGCCGAGAATACCGAGGAATTCCGACAACGTCATGGAGGAGGTGTCTAAATTCACAAATTCCGCGGACTGAATGGCGTATTTGGGTGAATTTCTATATTCTATCCGACGATTGTTCGAAACATATGTCGGGCGGATTCAAGATTGCACGGGGACGAAAGGCAGGTCGCGAGTGTCTCAATATTTTATCGGGTTGTCTCGGGGACGAGAAAGAGAGAGAGAGAGAGAGAAAGAAAGAAAGAAAGAAAGAAAGAAAGAAAGAAAGAAAGAAAAAAAGAGAAAGAAACGAGGGAAATGATCGCCACGAGCGTGGCACGTTCCATCGGAAGATAAGCGTGAATTGGGACATAGCGAGATAATGGGCATGCGACCGGCGGCGACGCAATTCGATTCGAATGCGCGCACGAGAGCGTCCGAACACGGGAAGCAGTCATACGAGCACTCGTGCTCCGCCGGAGAGAACTCTCGGAGGATCGTTACTCGCGCGACTCGAGTGACTCATGTATAGTACAACGTCAAAGCAGCTTTCAGCAGTGCCGCCCTGCCTCTCCCCGTGTGAAATCGAAGGCTGGCGGAGGTGTATGAGAAAATTCAAGAGCGGCCGCCGCCGCTGCGTGCAGCGCCCACGATTATGCAAAATATGTAACGAACTAATTACACAGTTGGCTCACTGCGGCTCACTCAATGCAGCCCAATGCCAGCTAAGGATGCCAAGGTGGCTTAGGAGGTTGCGACAGCACGCGGTGTAACGTGCTGGAAACGCGGTGAAAACATCCCGGCGAGTTTTCCAGCAGCGTATAGAGAACAGAGAGATATCGAGAGATCGGCGTGAAAAGGCTAAAAGGGGGAACGTTGGCGAGACAGCGGGAGGAAACCTCGCGTATTTCCTCGATTGATCCGTTCTCGGACTGCACGCATTCGCGTGTGCCACCCCTGCGAAAGTCAAATGGGGAGGAGGAGATGTTTCCAACTGTAAAAGAGAGAGAGAGAGAGAGAGAGAGCGGGGGGAGCCAGCATCTGTTAAAAGCGACGTTGAAAGGGAGAAAGAGAGAGAGAGAGAGAGAGAGAGAGAGAGAGACATATCGTAAACGCGCAAACAAGAATAGCGCATCGAGACTCGCGGATGGATTATCGAGCGAAGAGTCAACTTACAACTCCTCCCTCTGACGTTGAGACAGCACCATTTTCATGATCCTCGTGTGTGACCTCGCTGATACCTCGTTGAGTGATTCCGAGTGGAGCGCGACTAGATCTTCCAGTCACCTCTCAATGACCTCTCACTGCCCCGCCATCGACATCGCCTGCGACAAAAAAGAAACGCCAGGTCTCAGTCACGTAAGATAAATATATACCTGACGAGCTCTCCGTATCGAAGTGTGAAAATCACCACCGAGTCAATATTTTGTCGCCAGTTACATTACATTGCTAATATAATATTGACACAACGTTGATGCAGAATCGCGATTGTGTCTGTGAATTTCCTCCCGGCTCGGCGCTGCTCGTCGTCGCGCATTTCTCTCCTCCCCACAGAAAAGAAAACCGGACGACGCGAAGGCGGCCGGGACTCTCGCGCGCGCGCGAGCGTACCGAATTGTTTCCGCGGGAATATATAATGTAACGCGCGCGCGGCGCACAATACGGCTGAAATCAATGTCGTGGTTTATTTTACTTTCCATCGTCGGAGAAACCCGATGCAGGTCGCTCGCTCGGAATCAGTGTCGCCTGGCCGCGGAACCACTTGCGCGGGAGAGCTTTCGTCGAGAAACACGAAAGCCGGTCGTTTCGTCGACGGCGAGCTTAAGCCCGGAGCGCGCCGATTTCGCCGGCGATCGATAGCACTTTTCGTCGCACGGAAGGTACGCGAAAGCGAAAGGCGATAAAAAGTGAAGCTCCCGGCATCGCGACGCGGAATAACACGGCGGCTTTACGAGCGGCTTACGCAGTCGTATTGTAAATTCAACAGCGCGATGTGGAGGAACGTCACGAGCGAGCGCTGCGTGACAACAGCCGCTGCACAAAGTCGTCTCGCCAAAATGAGAAGAGGGCTCGTATCAACAATTGTCACTTGAAACTTGTTCCACACCGAGAGAAAAAAAAATATATATGTATATATGTATTTTATGGGAATATTTTTTTCATTTGAACGTATAACGCAAGAACTCTTGGCGTGTGTTTTCTCGCTTCTGATGTCATCAAACAAAGACAGTTGCAGCGAGGGACCACAGAAGCCTTAAAATAAAAAAGGGATATATTGTTGTCCCCGAAAATAACTATATCTTTCTCTCAGGGCACGTGAGATACTCAGGACACTTACTATGGTACCGTTCGGAATCTTTAAATTATTCCCCAGATTTTCTCTCGTATTTTATAGGGAATAATTTCGAGCGATTCCGATCGGAATCAATTCCGAAAGGGGTTGTAATATGTGCCCGTATCTAAATTCAGAGTTAAACGCGAGCTGTTTTGTTTGAATCATATAATATACCCGACGTTACGTTCGACCTATCACGGAAGAAAAGAAGTGAAGTAGAAAAAATTTTTTTTTAATAAGATGGAAGTGTCAATACGGTGCTTTAACCTTAGCTCCCACAGCCAAAGTCTAGACTCCGACTGGTAAAAAATTAGCGGCCCACGTAATACAACTGTAATTCAGCCGATTTAACTGACTCTTTTTGTCCCTGTACCTAGTTTTTAGCTGCCACAGCTAAAAACTAGGTCCGGCAACAAGATTTCAGTCGCGTCATCAATCATACACAGCTAATTCCCTTTTCCGTGTTAACCGAGCGTGCTGATTCAGCCGAAGCACTCGCATCTGACTCTAAATTCAAATCCGAAATTGTCTCACCCGAGAGAGATTTCGAGTAACTACTATATCGGCGCAAGTCTATTCGAGATTTTCCGTGGAACTTCGCGGAACAGAAGTGTCCACGTGTTCGCGAAGCAAGCATTAAACAATCGTTCTGGCCGTGGTTGTTCATTCCTCCGCTGGAAGCGGAGAAGTCCGCGTCTCTTTCCGGGATATTAGTATATTTATGAAACGTGGGCCGAACAGGGTGTCGGTGATGAGGTGAAAACATCTCTCCGGGGAAGGGAATAATCGGGAGGAAGGACCTTGACAATCGTAAAGGTGCACTGAGCGTCGGCGCAGCGTCGTCGCGACGCTCTGCGATGGCGATGGTTATCGCGATGGCGATGCGCCGTAATCGATAAACCGGCACAGCACGCCCACCCCGCACAGTCCGCGGCGTATATTTTCGCCTTGCGGTGCACTTAAATATTCATACCGGCCTCTTTCTGCCTCGACACGCTCGTCGTAACGTTAAAAACGTCGGTGTGTGATTGAAGTCGGCCGAACCCGGGCTTTGCACCCGGGAAATGAGTCGACCTGCCGAGTAATAATTCAATGCAGCAGCACGAAGTTGCAGAAACGCGACCGGTGAGAGAGAAAAATAGAGGGAGAGTGCGAATGCAATATAACGCGCGATAATGAAATGATACACGATATTCGACGCGGTGGCCGCGTCCGAAGCATGAATGGGGCACGACGCGGTACACACACACACACGCATACACACATACACACGCGATACTTATTAGTCATCGGAAAGTATAATTGTTGAAAGAGAGAAGAAGAAAAACTGGAACTCTCTTAGAGTGCGCAGCCGCGCAGCAAACGCGCTGCGAACGGTTGAAAGTATCGCAGCGCGCGTCACGAAACGCAGCGTATAAATGAGAAGTATATAATTCAAGACGGAGATGTCCTTGCCGCACGATAAATGCGCGCACTACGGTGGAAAACAATAAGGAGAAATTCCTCGCTGCGTTTTGTCCATTCCACGTGGAACGGTCACGGGCCCTCCCCCTCCCGGCTAAAAATACCTGGGCACCTTCGCCATTTCTTCGCTTTACGGAAGCAAATAATTAACGTGACGGACATTACAAGCGCGAGTTGAACGATGCTGTATGATTTATGCGACAAACGTACAATATGCAATTTATGTAAACACGAGTAACCTCGCCCGCCCGGCTTCCTTTCGCGCGTTCAGCGCGACGAAAATTCGCCGAGAATCATTTCTCATCCTTTCGCGGACTTCTCCGTGCGAATTAATGTCCCGTCGACATTCACGTTTAGCCGAGATCTTCGAATACAATTACACAAGCTAGGCTCGGTTTTTCATTTTCTGCTCAATCTGTAGTTTGGACTTAACCTGATGATAATGAAAAAAAATTGTGTCTTTCTACTCGTGATTAATCATTAAATTGTTGGTTTTGCGGTGGTAACTTTGTTAAATTTAACTCTCCAATGGTAAGGTGGACTTCCAACGTATCCAAGGTGGAGTCAGATCCGACCCGTGCTCTGTTTCGTCCGTTTTTGCACGCTGTAAAATAAACGACGCTGTCGGGTCAATCTGACTCCAACTCATCATTAGAAGGATAACGATTAATCGTGAATACGAAAAATACGGTCTTACGTTATCATCAGGTTAAGCTCGAAGTTAACCAAAAGACGAAAACTCGGGCTTTAATCCGCGACGTTATTAGTAGTAAACTCTTATCAGCCGGTTCTTTACGAAATCTCGCGATCACCGGCACTCGCTCCGTAACAGTCAACCGTTTCCGGGATCATCGGTCCAGGTGAGTGACTGTGCCTGCCGACTTTCCTGACCTCGCACGCGCGCACTTCGATTTACCTGTGGCTTCGCTTTTCTCTCTCTCTCCCTCGCGAACTAATCTGCTTACGTAGGTGACACGCGAGAAGGAATCGCTATCTACCAGCCGCGAGTTCATCGAGATCAGTCGAGACAGCAGGAAACGATACGAAGAGAGGAAGCAAGGAAGGCCGTGTAGTGCGGTGATGTCGCATCCCAAAACTGACGGAAGAGAAAGGATAAGGAAAGAGAAGGATCTTTCCGGGATCGTCGTAAGGAGAAACAGAATGGATCTTTCCGGGATCGTCGTAAGGAAAGGCAGAATGGATCTTTCCGGGATCGTTGTAAGGACTCCGATTCTCTCGTCCTGTCCTCTCTCTCTCTCTCTCTCTCTCTCTCTCTCTCTCTCTCTCTCTCTCNTAAACGTTATGTGGCTGTCTGATAAAAGTCGCAAAAAGATTCCTATGGCGTGATTCATCGGCAAGAGCAAAGTTTATTTGGACGCTCAAGTACCATGTGAATCCGATCACCGGTCGACATCAAGGTTGGTGTTTTCTTCCGAAGACTTTGATACTCGAATCTTCGAAGATTCGAAGTTTCGGTGTTCACTATTCAAATTTCGAAAATAACGAAGCTTTGAAACATCGGAGAATTCTAAGATTTTTAAGACTATATAATGTTTGATACATCCTTTCATCCACTGAAGTTCATTTACAACGTTTCTCAGTATTCCTCGAGTAAGATACAGGTAGAGTATATATATGTAAATAAAAATAAAATATATGTGTTAGCAAAAATAAAACATATATATATCAGTCTACGATATTCGCAAGATTGTACTATTCGAAGCTTCGAAACGTGGAAGATTATTGTTTTTGAGAATGAACCTTCGAGACTTCGCCTTAAAAAAAAAATTCGGAAGTTCGAATGCCCTTTGAAGCTCCGAAGTCCTTTCGGAGCTTCGAAATTATCGAAGATCAACAGCCCCGGATTCGACGCCGAACTTCCGACGAGCTGAGATGACGAATTTCCGAGAGAAAACACCCCTCCAAGGATCGGAGGCACGTTTCGTTTTTCGGTCCCTTGTATTTTCCCGACTCCGACAACCTAACCCTCAAATTGTACCGAGAAAACTTCACAGATGAGAATAACATTTTCGAGGCAGCTTTTCACACATGCTAAGATGAAAATCTCCCAGATCATCGCTGCGTTCTTGAAGGCCCAGCAATCAAACTCTACGAGCATGCGCCCGACTCTCAAGCCGACGTTCGTCGTAAAATGGTGTATTGGGAATCCTTTCGGGACTCCTGGAATCAATATTGAGAAAGGGAAAGAAAAATAGAGAGAGGAAAACCCACACTTTCTAGCCTGCGACAAGACGCACTTCGTCGCAACTTGGTCGCGCCGAATCGATGCGCGAGCGAAGTTAATTAACGCGCGTGAAACTCGCGCGACGGTGTATCCGGACAATCTTATCTCATTTATCTTATCCCCGAGGCATCGCGCTTCAATTGCGGCGCAAACGCGTACCTAACGAATCACCACAGCGGGGAAGTGTAACCAGCAGATGCAAATCACCCACCGTCGAGCGCAAGTTGGGCAAGACCGATGCGCTTTTGGCACCCACTGCAGCGGTGTGAGAGCGAGACGGAGAACAAAACACGGAAGTGTGTGCGTGTATGAGAGAGAGAAAGAGAGAGAGCGCCGCTGACAATCGTTTATTTCGTACGTTCGTCCTTCTTTCTAAAGAACCGACACGGCATCGCGCGAACCTGCTCGGACACGTCGAGTCTGTCCGCGGCAGAAACTCGTCATCGGTATCGCGCTTGTATACCTGGAAAAAAGGATGATTCGACGAGAAAGGTTGCACGAGTTATTCGAGAGAAAGAGATATATATATGTACAGAGAAAGAAAGAGTGAGACAGACAGATGTTATAACAAGTACACCGACATGACGATGACTCAGTGAGTCGAACGTAATCTCTAGAAAGCGTTGACCGGCGCGTCGAAGGCATCCACCACCAGCCCCGGGGTGGTCGGAATCTCCGGTTCGCGCCGATGACGGCCCCCTTGGAAAGCGCGAAGGTGCTCGTAGGAACGAACACTACCACGATGCGCCTTCGCGACGCCGACCCTGCAGAAAGGATCGTCGTTTTCTCCCTGGGCGAACGGAGATGTGGGGGAACGCTCGGGGAAAAGATGGAGCGACACGGTCACGCAGCATCCCCCTCGCGCGCTGATTGACGGAGGTGACGACGAAAGGGCACGGATGATCGATCGTGGTGGCTGTACGTCTCTCCGGAGGTCTCGGGCTCGCTCGCGTGTCCTCGATCGACGGGGCAGAGTAAGAGAAAGAGAAAAAGACGGAGGAGAGAGAGAGAGAGAGAGAGAGTGGGAGCGATGACAGCTGATCGCGCGGCGTCGGCATCGTCTGTCAAAGAACGCGGTATCAATCGCGAACGCAAGTTGCCGGATAAGATAAGGACGCCGTAGTAGGTCGGTTGCGCGCTCGAGACGCGGGGCCGAAGGTTCCTCGGAAGGTGCGCACGGGAGCCTACGGGGGCATCGGTGGACGGACACCGCGTCGGAGCAGCCAGCCGGCGGTTACTCGCGAAAAAATCAATTCGCGTTCGGTGACGTGCGACGCGCGTATACGTCCGAGGAGACTGGGCATGCTGGACTCTCTCTCTCTCTCTCTCTCTTTCTCTCTTTCTCCCTCGCGCGCGACATCGTCTCCGCGCTCACGTCCGGGAAATTGACGACGACGCGGCCCCCAGGGAGAACGACGCACACGCGGCCGTGCTCGAGACGCTCAGGACGTTGCCTACGGACGACGCGCGCCGCCTGAGTCACGAAGGGAGCGCGCCGCACGACCGTTTGTTGTAGATCGCGCACGGCCATCTTTGCCCAGAACCCGTCAGCGACCGTCTGTGCGGAGTGGTCGCTCGGCTCTCTCGAGCAGCGTCGTCGAGCGAAGGCCGAGCAGCCGCCGCGATCCCGGCGTCAGCCGTTCGTCCCGCCACGAGGAACCTCTTAGCGGATACTCACGTCTGTATCACGGAGGAGCAGCAACGGGGGATGCCAGGAGTAACGGCGAAAAATCGCGTGAAAACCGGGCGGCCGCGACTATCGAGGAACTCCTCGGGATCACTTCTGCGATCGGACTGGCCCCGCGAGGTGGCGTCTGCGCAGTCACGCATGCGCCGCGCCGGGCCGTTGCTCGCCCACCTTTCGGACTCGTGCGAACTTCGCGGCTTCCGCGCGACTCCTGCTGACATCTGACGCGAGACTCCGGAACTGGTAATCGCGGGAAGATGAAAGGAGATGAATACCGTCCGAAAAGCCGGGTATCGATCACGTTACTTTTTCTCTAGGGAGGAAACGTCCCAGACAGCACGAAACCTAAAACTGAGGAATAAGTGTCGGTCCACAATAGGTATATTAAGCCTTAATTAATTGACCAATTTTGATTATTCTCTTCACATTCGAATGATTGGCCAATTTCTTAAAGTTTAAAATACCTATTGTGAACCGACATTTATGAATACCGGCCTTACGGATTCTGACCAACTACTAGGTGCATTATCTGCTCTTTTTAGCTACACTTTCTGTAGTCAGGTGTGCTGTAAACGTAAAAAGTTATAACCTCGTTTATTTCTACGAGAAAATAAACAGGTTTATTTTTATATGAACGTCGGTTAATATATCACTGAGATATACCTGGTTTTGCGACAGTGTAATATCGGGGCTTGTTTCGTCTTATCCATCGACGATCTTGAACGATCTTGCTAATAAGGAAGTTAATGACATACTTTTGCACGTACTGTTCTTAACTTATACTGTTGCATTCGACGCGGAAATTTTAAACTTTTTCCTAATTGAATCACGCATGTAAATTTGATGGCTTTTTCACAATCGAACTCAAGAGGTAATCCTGATGCAAATGTGTAGAGAATACTTTTCGTATTAGTTTACCGATGTATATCCACGTTTATTGCTGATTATTGCTTCTAGAATTACAGAATAGGAAAATCTTAGAAGAGCTGCAATTGAAAAAGCAGATGCTTCTGAAGCAAGGAGTTGCACCAAGTCTGACTTCGTCGTTAGCTGTCTCATCCACTGGTTCTGCATCAAACACCGTGAGTGTATATATATATATATATATATATATATATATATATATATATATANAAGACGGTATTTCCTAAGGACCAAAAGGAACGCGATTAGCCAGTTACCAAGCGCAAGTATCCTATATATCACTTGTACAGGATAGACATGATGACATCAAATTATGTATATATATATATATATATATATATAAAATTCTATTAGACTATATTTAACTGGAAATATTTATAATGTTCTTTCCTTTTTGCTTCATCTCGTCGATATATGTTTCTTTCACAGCCCACAACACAACCCAATGATGGCATAGCGATGAGCGCATCTCAACGAGCCGCTTTACACAATGCACACGCTGCCTCATTTGGTTATTTCGTGACGCAGGATTCCTCTTTTGGAAATTTGATATTGCCAGTTCTCCCGAGATTTGACAGTAAATGAATGATTTTGACAGTGAAATGACTCTCTTGACGGCCTTGTGTAAACCAATTTTGAAGACTGTACATAAGCAACGTTAATGGAATTCTTATCTGACAAGAATCTGAGTCGTTTCTACAAATATTTATCGAACAAGATTGCTTTAGAGAAATTGTGTGTGTGTGTGTGTGGCCAGTAGGCCTTAAGTAGGGCGACAATGGCAGCTCTTCGACTTCGTCAGTTGGAAGAATACCTTCAACAGCTGGAGGTCTTCGAGAAGCCGAAGGTTTTGCTCGAGCAGTACGCCACCAGTGCGCACATCGCCTCGCATATGTTATACACCGCACAGTCACAGTTCAATGACATCGAGGGTAAGAGCGTGGCGGATCTGGGCTCGGGTTGTGGTGTATTGTCATTGGGCGCGAAGATGCTCGGTGCCGGGTACGTGGTCGGATTCGAGATAGATTCGGACGCGGTCGATATACACAGCGGTAACTGCGACGACATCGAACTCCACGTCGAGATCGTGCAATGCGATATACTGCAGTGTTTACCAGGTATATATATGTATATATATTTATCAGAATATACATATCTGTTCGATTCTTACGATTAACCGAGAGAGAAACAAACGAACGTACGCGGGGAACAATGTCACGTTGCAGGGAAGTTCGAGGGACGCTTCGACACGGTCGTGATGAATCCGCCGTTCGGCACGAAGAGGAACGCCGGCGTCGACATGAGATTTCTGGAGACGGCGATTCGGCTGTCCGGCAACGCCGTTTACTCGCTGCACAAGAGCAGCACGCGCGACTACGTTCTCTCGAGAGCGGCGCAGCTCGACGCTAAGGGGACGGTGGTGGCCGAGCTCAGATATGATCTACCGAGAGCCTACAGATTCCACAGGAAAGCCTCGGTCGACATCGAGGTGGACTTTATACGCTTCGAAACGAATCGTTGACAGTTCGAGCCAAGTCGCCGAGCAAGTCGCCACTCTCTCTCTTTCTACTCCGGTCTACTCGAACTTAATGCCCTGCGCCAGGGGCAGCTCGTTCCCGTGATTAATCGTGATGGTCGCGCGCCGCATGTAATGTTTCCACGCGTCGCTACCGCTTTCCCGACCGCCGCCCGTGGCCTTCTCACCGCCAAACGCACCGCCTATCTCGGCGCCGCTGGTGCCGATGTTGACGTTCACTATTCCGCAGTCCGATCCGTGAGGGCCGATCCACTGTTGTAGCGACACACAAAACGGCAGAATTACGTCGGAGAGTTCCATCGATCGAGCGTATACTCACACGTTGGTCGTATCAACACATTAGCTTTACCTGAAATACATTTCCGATACTTTTAGTAAAGAGGCTACTGCTCAATCCTTGTTCCACGCCGTTGTTGACACCGATGGCCTCCTCGAGAGAGTTAGCCTCCAGGATGTAGACGATCGGAGCGAAGGTCTCCTGCTGCACCACCTCCGCGTCCGCCGGTAGACCCGAGACGATCGTCGGCTCCACGTAATAACCGGGCCGGTCCACTCGCTTCCCGCCGAACTCGATCGTACCACCGGCCTCCACGGCTCTCCTGATCGCCGCCTGCAGCGAGAGGTTTATTCTGCTCAAATTACGGTTGTAGAACGGCGCGAGCTTTCAGAGCTGCCAGTGACGCGATATTCTTCCAAGTAACGCGTTATATATATAGGGTGGGATGTTTAAATCGAGACACCTTAATATAACAGAGATAAAGCAAAATAGAAAGAAATGTTTCAGACAAAAGTTGCAGAGTTTGGGAGGGGACGTATCTTGGTGACCTTAACTTCGTTATATTGTCAATAATTCGAGGTCGTTACATGTCACCGTTAGCCACAAAAGATAACGTCATCGTTATTAACCCATTAACTGCCAAATTTTTTTTTTTGAAATTTTTGGCCGGATAAGTTATATATATGCACAAAAAGTTGTGTAACAGTATAATTATATTCAAATTATGTTTTGTTTTGATCCTCAAATGGAGATCGTGGCAGCTAATGGGTTAAATTATTATTGAAAGTAAGTGGAAAGTAACGACGTTACGCGTAACGAGTCACTTACAAATTCTGCTTAAGTTCTACAACCGACGCTGTGCACGCACCTGGTACTCGTCGACCGCTTTCTGATTGTGCAACGGCCCGTACAGCACACCGTCGTCCAATGGGTCTCCGATCCGCCCCAGGATACTCTTATACGCCGTTTTCAATTTTCCTAAAAATTCGCGCGTGGTTTTATACGTTTCGCTTTACGTTACGCCGTTTTTAATTTCACTAAGGATTTATATATCCTTCTATATGGAAAAAAAAGAATTAGCTCCCATAGGTGAAGATTTGCTGTCTACATAATATACACAACTGAAATTTAGTTAATTTAGCCGATTCTTCTGCCTCTGTACTTAGTTAACTTTCACAGTTTCCACAGATGAAAAAATTACGTCTGGCAACAGCATTTTAGTTGTATTATATGGCCAGCTAATTCTTTTTTTCCCGTACAACACCCTCGATTTTGTGGATATGACTACCTAAGAATTCCTGCTTGACATCCTTGTGCAATATCAGCCTCCTGGTGGTGGTGCATCTCTGTCCAGCTGTTCCAACGCACGAGAAGACCGCCGCTCTCACTGCCATCTCCAGATCGGCGTCCTGCGCAACTGCCGGCGGGAGATGATAAACGTGACGATCGTGTCGAGCATCGTGGGCGATATGAAGAGAAGGGCTTTATAATTGTCGCACGTACCGATTAATGCATTGTTGCCACCGAGTTCCAACAAGGACCTGCCGAATCTTTGCTGGACCTTCACCGCCACTTGTCTTCCCACGCTCGTGCTTCCGGTAAATGAGACCAGAGGTATCCTGACGATGTGTTAGTCAGTCATGAGCTCAGGGTTATTACACCGCAGGGACATCGCGAGAGAAATTACACGAAACACATCTGAGACTGACCGTTTATCGTTTACCAAAGTCTCACCGACGTCCGGTCCACCCGATACCAAAGACGCGACGGCACCCGGGATACCGTTGCGTTCCAAAACACCGGCGATTATCTTCGTAGTCGCGATGGCTACCAAGGGCGTCGTCGAGGCACCTTTCCAGATGACAGCGTTACCGCAGACCATCGCAATGGCGGTGTTCCAACCGTACACCTGCAAAAGACGCGAACAAATGAAGATCCGGTGGAATAAAACGACCCGGAGAAACAGAACGGTATAATATGGATATAGACAGAAATGCTGAAACATAGCATGCAGGTGTTTAATGTACGCTTCTTCGTGATGTCATTGCAGCGGCACGACGTGTTCAAAACGTGCTTGCTTTAAGAAATACTCATTTATTACGTCGATCATTTTAATCAGACTATTGACTTTTTATTATACTACAATAATTCCAGACTAATTGCGTTCTCTCTCGGGCAAGATGGACGACAATAAATAAATAAATAAATAAATAAATATATATATATATATGGTGGTCAGAATATCGCTGATATTTTAACGGTATCAGATGACTTCTTTCATGCTGACAAAATTCCTACATCGTACGAAGACCAAGCCGTATCTCGAAGTCGCACTCACTGCTACGGGGAAGTTGAACGCGGAGATCACGCCAACTACGCCCAGGGGATTCCACTTCTCCAGCAGCGCGTGGTCCTTCCTCTCCGAGGGGAACACGCTGCCGGGTAACATACGTGACAGTCCGACCGCGTAATCGCATATGTCGATGAATTCCTGGACCTCGCCTATGCCTTCCGGCAGTATCTTCCCTGCAACGACAACGCGATGCAGAAATTAAAAACAAATGTCCTTCGAATAAAGGCGGGCAGGAATTCCGGGGGCACCAGTCGCCCTGAGTACTCGCCCATTTCCAACGACACCAAGCGTCCCAGTGGCTTCAGGTTTCTCCTGAGCTCGTCCCCTATTTGCCGTACAATCTCCCCTCTCGCCGGCGCCGGGATGGATGCCCACTGCGGCCAAGCTTTGCGCGCTTCCGCGATGGCATCGCCGGCTTCCTGCGGCGTGGACTGGCGTACCTTCGCTATCACCTTGCCGGTCGCCGGCGATATCGATTCTATCTCCTGCACGGAGTGATCGATGTTGCATGAACATAGATTTTAGTTATTGTCACGTTATCGCTATCGTTACATTTCTGTTATGCGCGCTACTATGGTGGTGTAACGTGATTTACAATGATTTACGATTCTCCTCCTCTCGGCTTCTCTACCAGCTATAGTACCAGCAGGTGTACCATCTGCTCGTTATCAGTAAGTACGATAAGAAGTCGCGTACCTCGCCGGATCCGCCCCAATTCCCATCGTAAAGTCCGGGATTCACGGCGGTGATGCCCAATTCCTTCAGGAACCCGTACTTCGGATCGGTCACCAAATGCCTCGCCATCTGGAACTGAGAGACGCAGCGAGTGTTCCGCAGCAATAGACTCGTCATGGCCACTGTAGCGGTCCGTCACCGTTCGAGTCGCCGGTTGTAGTAATAAACAGCTCGGGTTATCAAGACGACACTATTTATCAAGAAAGAAAGAGAGGGGGAGGACGAGACGTATGATAAAAACAACGCGAGAGTATCTTGGTAAAAAGTATATCTAAGCCCAACAAGAGTGATATGCTATAAACGGCAGGCGACTTGCAGCTCGCTCGAATCTCTGGCGAAATCGCAAACAACTCCTTCCGATTATATGAATCGGCAGAGGAGAAAAATCTAGAAAAGTGAAAGTCAAACGGAAGATTGTGAGTGCGTTCGCTAAGAAGCTCCAGAAACGCGGCTTAGCACATGTAAAAACGCACGTTTTATTCGTAACAATAGCGACATCACAATAAGGTGCGGCAGTGGTATACACAGAATGGTAAATGTTTACAAAATGTTTTTTTTTCTTTTTTTTTTCATTCGCTCCGTCACTGGTAATGTCTCGTTTTTTTTTTTTATATAGGTAGAGGCACTCGCAGGAGAGATTCGATGGGAATGCGACTGTCGTTTAAATGCCACTGTAGAAGTCTTAATGGAATATAGGTTTCATTGTGATCCCATCGGAAGATTGCGATTGCGATCTCAGCCCGGCCTGCAGAGCTGATAACACCTCAGGTCCGAAATAAGCTGGAGGACCGATCTGGTCAGTGTCGGCTGATCCTGAAACGATTTGTCACGCATGACTCGCACGACTGCCGACACTCAGGGCCGGTTGTTCCATTTTCAGATGAATTTGTCTAATGGATAAATATCTGACGTAGGTTCTCGTAAGGAAATAAACTACAAGAATATGAAAAAAACAAAACAATACTGGCACTATAATTATTGAAGTATTATTTTTTACGTTTGGCGTCTCATAATGATCAAACGGTTGATTATTCGAGGTTGTGTCCATTGAAAATTTTCATCCACATGACGGGAACTACAACATATCAGATTTCCAGCCAATTCCGCCGAAATCCCAATTTTCACACAAGTTCCGTGCAGACTCCTTTATCCTTTGTTCATCTCAAGGTTGGAACAGCCGGCCTTCGGACATTCGCGTTTTTGTATTTAACGTACCGTAGATTTGTCGAAGTTGCCCAGCAAGGTGGCCCTCTGCATATTATCGACGCCCTCGCAAGTTGCCAAGAACGTTGGCAAGAAATGACCGAAAAACCACCCTATGTTGACGGACGCCAAACTGTGAACAGCCGCGGCTATTTCATCCGCCAGTAGGTTGTGAGACCTACGGGAAGTAAAATATGCATTAAACGACGCGACGATTAACACGCATACATCGTAGCAAATTACATGCAATTGTTACTAACTGTTGAAACAGCACTGTGAACAATGCCATGAGAAATCTCTCGAGAAGGTGGACCTTGAAGATCGCTCGTTGATAGAGCCGCCAGCGTATGTTCAGCTGCTCGAGACTCTGCAGACTCTGTCGGAATATATTAACGTCCGACTGAAGGAGAGCCTGGCCGAACGCCTCCAGAATCGCTACGAGTTCCTCCTTGTGTTCCACAGACTCGTCCTCGTCGGGATGCCCGAGGGTTCGCAATACCGAAGTGTTGTAGAAATACTGCCAGCGGTGCATGAGGATACTTGGAGAGCAAAATATTGTGCGGTGAGACTTGATTGGACTTCTGGGAAAAAGCCAAACGCGTATCACCAACACGACGAGGGACATCTACCTGTGGAAGAGTTTCAACAGGACCAACGTTGTGTCCGGATGAGCGCTCAGGTTGTTGCCAACAGCAGGCCACACCTGACCCAGACAAAGACTCGTCACCGAGGGCACGAATGCCTTGAATGCGTTGCTGGGCGCCGATACGACGAGTATCAGGATCTCCAGAAGCTGGTCCAACGCGGGCCCGGCGGAAATATTTTCTCTGGGGCCAATATCGATGTTAGAACAGTTGAACGAGTTAAACGACATTTTTACTTTTTTCGATCTCGCACGAACCTGGTGTAGATCTGCAGCATGCCTTGGACCGCATTCTGCGTGAACTCGGGTCCCAGCTGTTGCTGTAATACTGAGAATGCTGAATGCAGGAAGCTAAGTAACACCTCACATATACCCGGGCACCTTATCACGTAAGGTAGTAACTCCAACGTTCGATTTATGATGGACTCCAGACACGAGTGCAGTATCTTCTTGATAGTGGTCGACGAAGAGGCGCAGTCCTCTAGCACTTGGATCAGCGGCACAATCGTGATCGAAATTGTCGGCTCCGAAGGCACTGGTTGCCCCTGCATACCCAGAGGCGCGGACAGTGCCAATATCATAGCGCCTGAGGAACGGAAGCGTTTTTATCGGTTCCACAAATTAGTTCCCAGAAAGCCGAACCTGCACAAGCAGATTCTGAGCAGTCTGTTATAAATTTTTGATAGCAGAAAGAGAAAGAGAGAGACAACCTAGCTGTGATAACAATCATTTCTCTAGGCATCTCAGAGAGCCTATAAAACCAACGTTTTTTTCTTTTTTTTTTTTTGAAAAACTGATCTAAATGCTTCAGGTAGAACTTTCCTTCGAGCGCAAATTGATTTTTGATATCCAAGACGTCTACGGATCTGTCGAGAGATCCCGACCGAATCTGTCGCTAAACCATTGGCAAACTAATGTTAACAGACCGCTCACTGGGTACAGACGCAACACACACGTCACAGACGAGAGAAAAGCTCACCCAATAATCTTTGCCTCGTGGCCGCGTCACCGGGCGGCAGTATAATTCCGTTCACCAATGCTCTGCGTAGAACCTTTATCGTGTCTGGCTTCAAGTACGGATACGTGCCCATGGAAATAAGATTCCTAAACGTCGGTTGGTCCCACAGGATGGGTTTCAGGATGGCGGTGATACTCTGGAAGAGATGAGTGGCGGAATGAACGAGGCTCGACGGAGGTGGTTGATCGCAGGTAGCGGTGTACGTCGTCGCCCAGATGCACGAGTCGATGCAACGCTGGCAGAGCGTCTCCTTCGTTTTCTCCGGTCTTCTGGCTATCCAATGACACCATGCTTGAAGAGAAGCCAAAAGCTGTGAATGTCTAATAGCGCAAGTATATAAGTAATTGAGGGATATCTGTGCGCACAGTCGTGGCTTATTGTCAAGCCACGCTCGGAGAGAGCGTGTAGAAGAGAGCGCCGAGAACTTACACTTCTATGAGGTCTATTACGATAGCGGGTGGCTGAAGCGCGGCTTTGTACAATTGATTATCCCTCGCGAACACGCAGGCATCGAGAGTCTGCGACACAACTTCCTCAGCCAAGCCTTGATCGGCGTTCGTCTGGTCGCCTGAAAGTACACACGATTACATCGGATGCGAACAACCGGGCAGTCACCAAAAATTGACAGGATTGCAGTTCGCACAGATTTACCGATGAAAAGAGAATACAGCCTGGCTAGAGCTTGCGTGGTCGACGCGAGATCTCTCAGATGTGCATGCACGTTCGACGCCTCCGCGTCGTTTAATAAAATAACCTGCCCGTTCGCTAAGGCAGCGCCCAATTCTCCAAAAATAATCAAACCCTCTCTCCACGAACGGTACTGAAAGGAATAGCTGTTATTAGTACCGTCCTCGCACGACGGACAGACAGATAAGCTAACGCATGCAAAATACCCGTCGGTTAGAAATTTACCAATAGTGTGAATACTGGAATAGGCGAGATGTCGGCAATTTTCGCCAAACACTCCACATTACATCGCAGAAAATGCTGCCATTCCGTTTCTTCCTGTCACAACAGAAGATAAAAAAAATTTCGTATAGGGATGAAATAATAAAAAAGAAATGTTTGCAAACTAGTGGAACTTATGGAAGCTGATCCACGTTCAAGTATGAACACCTACGTTCTCGTCCAAACTCTCCGTATCGAGGTCCCTCAATACTCGAGCGTTGAGCTTGAAACTCATTTTCTGCAACACTCGTTCGGCGAGGCCCAGCGCTACGGCGGAATATCGTGACTGGGTGCTCTCCAAAAGCGTGGTCCAAACGTCCAAACATCGCAGGTAACCGTTCACGGTGGAAGCCTGCTGGAACGTATGATGGCACAGTACTTCTAATAACGTATTTATAAGAAACTTCGAGCTCGACTCCAATCTCTTCAGGTGATTCGTTATGAACAACTGTAAGAACTCCGTCATTTTCTCCATGTAGCTGAAAGGGAACGTCTCGTGAGTCGTTTCGCGCGTTTGAAAACGCCAAGCGGACTCGCCCGTGAATGCGTTCATCAACGAGTACCTTTCGTCTATCGAGTCGAGACGTTCTATCAATTGGAATAAATTAACGCCGTGTTGAAATATCTCCAGTAATAATGTGTCGGCCGCATTGGGTGAACAGAGTGGTCTGTACAACAGCTCGTTAACCGTAGTCAAGGCTTGCACCGCCATTTCTATCTGCTTGCCGTTCTGCCGAAAGTGGTAACATTATACATCTTCCACGCGTTACCATATTTTGCACTCCTGAGAAGTCGGACCTTACCATCGCGTCGTGATACTTGGCACATGAGAAAATAGCATCCAATAAGTTAGTCGAGATACTGCCCGATAGGTCGATCCAACTGAACAGGTGCGCCAAAACTTCGAGAGTCGCTGTGCAAACCTCACTAGTGCCTGTTGCTAATCCCTCGACGTCGAGCACAGCGCGTACAGGCGCAAGAGTCTGTCCACTGGTGGGCGATGGAGGGGGTGTGACCGTACCGGAACGACTTTGCAACTTCGTGGTCTCCTTCAGAAGCACTGTTGATATGACAAACAGGATTACAGAGAGATTCCTGTCTAGTCGGAGTAGCGGCTTCACTGCTGCGACAATGGCAATCGTACCTGTGAGTGTATCCAAAGTCAGAGGCACTTGAGAACTTAACAGTCTGAACAGCTCGGTCTTTCGGTGCATCGGCAGATCTTCTCGCGGCGTAGCAAGCTCTTCCGAAGCTGTACGCAGGTATACAAGCCCGAGGAGCCTTGTGTGTTTGTGACCCAGCAACTGTCGGGCAGAAAGAAGGACATTGGGCGGTGATACGTAGATTTACTCTGTGATGGTGTAACTGTACATGTGTAATAGAATATTCAGTTTATAAACCTGTAAAATATTGGAGTAAAAATCTGGATAGAAATGTGGCCAGTCGTGTCTTGCTATATCTACTACTAACTTTACGACTTTATTCCTCACGAAAGGCGCTACACCTCTCTCCAATGACAACGTGTACAAGGTGGATCTTGTAAGGGCTCTGTCCTCCCACGGGAGAATCGGCCATCTCCTGCCGATGGTCGTCTGCCAAATCGTTCAGACTGAAGATTACTGAACAATATCGTACTATTTCATCAATCCTCCTCCCGACTCTCTCGTGTAATTACCTCCAAGGTGGACAGAGCAAACATACTGACGTAGTGGTTGCTTGTGGAAGATAAGAAATGCAAGCACGGCTTCCAGGAGTCGATCTGTGCGGTGAATTCTTGAAAGCTACGCTCGATCGTGCGCTTGCGTTCGTTGCTCGTCTCCGGTGAGAAGAACTCCGTCATCAATTGCTCCAGATTCTGGAGGGCGGCCGCATCGTCGTCCTGGAAGAAATTTCACTCGCATTTTTCCGTGTCTCGCTGAACGTATTCTCTCTCTTACATACAACAAGTTTCGCATCCCCAAGTTTCTGTATCCCGAAGCGGCAAAAGGGACGTCAAAGGGACTCATACAGGTATGCGTGCGTCGCGAATGAACTTCGCCGCCGACGCAACGAGGGAGGATTTTTCTAATTTGTTTACCATGGTACCGTTGCAGGAGAAGCACTATATTGCCGTAAATGCAATATAAATATACAAAACGGATGAGGTTAGACCTTCACTTGTCAGACGTCATTTTGACGTCAACTGGTCGGATGTCGGAGCTACGGGACAGATGTTCGCGTACGATTCTACTGGCGAGAAATGTCACTAGACGAGCGAGTCTACAACTTATCTTATTCGTGGTTGTATTCAAGACGCCTCGCCGGTACCACGCAGAGAGAAAATAAATATTGCGATGACTAAAAGAACACGCGCTACTAGATCGTTGACTCTCTTATCTGTGACTCATTTTGTTCCGGGCTTTACGATTGCTGTTCGATTCAAAGATATCTTACAAACTCATCTGCAATTCCCTTTTCCTTCTAATCATTTTGATTCCTATAAAAAAATAAAAATTGTCTATGGTTTTCTCTGGAATCTTCAGGAACACACGATGTACATGTTTTTTAATAAGAGATACGAGGGATTTTTCTGGGATTCTTCGAGCGTTCTAAGGTTTTAGTACTGCTGCCTGGGGGTTTTCTTTCTTTACTTATATTTAATTCAATTTTGCCACAGTCGCAAAACTTTGTCCTTTCCGCCTGAAGCGACTCGTAGTCCGTCGGGCGACCAGTCGACGGCATAAACCTCGTCCGCGTGACCGGGTAAATCCTGTTCCAACTTCTTGGTCTTCATACTCCACACTGCAAGAGAAATACGGTGCAACGTTGTTATCTTCCTAACGTTAGCGTACTCATCGATAATAGGGAGCTTTTTTTGCAATACCACCCTCAGATACCGTAAACGTGAAAGTGCGTATGACTATACATAATCGTGTATGTCCACAACGAAAAAATACTGTTGTTTACAAATTATATCGCAAATACAATCGAAATAAATGCCTCTGACAGCACATGATATCGACATTTAATTAAATGACAACATCGCTTTTTTTCCTATAGACACGTACGATCATATGTGTAACCGATCATATGTAACATATATGGGCAAAAAATTCACGTATGATTTTATATGATTTTATATAATTTTATATAATTTTATATAATTTTATATAATTTTATATAATTTTATATAATCGTATATAATTATTTTTTTCTCCCGAGAGTGAACACACCGGAACGCATTTCGGTGTTTACCGTATCAGGGAGATACGTTATTGCAAAAACTCCCTAATTTCAATTTTACGCTCGATTCCGTATCTACCTTTCAGGGTCGAGTCCGCGCTGCCGCTGACCAGCAGACGAGAGTCGGCGCTCCACGCTATCGAGTAAACCGCTTGAACATGACCTCTCAACGAGGCGATGAACTTCCCGGTAGTGGACTCCCACAATTTGATGGACTTGTCGAAGGACGCGGATGCGATCGTACGGCCGTCGGGCGAAAACTTGACATCGTTAATGAGTTGCTGGTGACCGGTCATTCTTGCTGAAAGACACACACCAGTGATAAATTCTCTTGCAGCATTGTGATCAAATCACCGTATGACAGGAAAAAAAATTTAAATTTGCAAAAAAAATTTAAATTTGCAATTTGAGTTACAGGACGTTGGATGCAACGGCACCGAATTAATTTGTGCATCTAATATTTTAAGGGCCCACAGCTTACCGATTGATTTTTTCTCTTTCTCCGGCTTCCACAAGAACAGTGTGAAGTCGTCGGACCCGGACACAAGTCTCTCTTCGCCTACTGATTCATATTGTTTCTTGGCGTATACCAGCGGATCCGAGTCTGCGTTCGATCCCAGATGAAACGGGCCAGTTCTGAGCACATAGTCCACGTTCAAGGCCAAGGTGTTTACCCAGTGGGCATGGCCTACCAAGGTCCTGCAGAGCACGCCCTGTAATTAACAGAATCAGATGCAGTGAGAATCGGTTGAGTTGAAATACAAATGACTGGAATCTTATGTGAGATACATACATCTTCTGCTCGCCACACTTTGACGGTTCTGTCCTGGGAGGCGGAATAAATAAGACCGCTGCCACCCCACTTGACGCAGGTCACGCTTTTCGTGTGGCCCGACAAGGTACGGCAGGTCTGTGACCTCTTTGTATCCCAAATTCTTACGTCACAATCCTTGGATGCGCTCGCCAAGTACTGGCATTCGGGATTCTTGTGATAGGGCTCCCAGCACAAGGATGTCACCCACATTTTATGTCCTGTCATCGCTCTTCCTGAGTAATAAAGGTGTAAAGAAATACAAGCACATCCTAGACTCACTCAATAAGAGATATCTTCTAAATCTTTACCTATTTGCTTGCCAGTATTTGGATCCCACAAATAAATCGATCCGTTTTTACACGCAGAGGCGAGCTTAGAACCACAAGGTGACCAAGAAATACATAACACCCAGTGTCTATGACCCTCGCATGTGTAATAAGGTGTTTGTGTAAAGATATCCCAGAACCTTACGGTTGTGTCGCCAGAACCACTCGCCAGATACTTGCCATCTGGTGAAAATGCAACGGATATAACGGCTTCTTTGTGTCCTGCAAAAACATGAATCTTAAGAATACAAAGGACACATATATATAAAATATCATACGTAGAAAATATAAATATTCCAGGAAGAGAAAAAAGAGAGAGAGACGAAGAATTCCTAACGAAAGAATGATACAAAACTAGGAACCTTCTAACGATCCTGTACATCTTGTGACAGCTCTGACTTTGAACAATGCCTGTGGCTGATACACAATTTCCACGATGTCCTCTTGGAAATCAAAGTCGTCATTTAAGTGTTTCTCCAATGTGTCTGTAACTTCCACATTGTTTATATAAAATGCCAAACGTAACGGGTCCTCTTGCTGCAACAGAGCGTTGCAAAGATCCTGCAGTTTATCCACAGTGGCATTGACCGGTATATGTAAAACACCACAGGACAAAAGTTCGCCAGTGTCAGATTTAAAAAGGGACGCAGCCTTCCTGACTTCGGCGTCCGTAGAAGCGTCGTCTTCGAATTTTCTCTTACTCATCTTGTGAAACTGATGTAAAAAGGCACTCTATAATCACATGTGCAGGTTGCACATTTAACATAACCTAAACACTTATCTGTGTGCCACTAATGTTTATAAAAATATTTATTTGCAAGACACTGTCCGTCATAACATAACCTCTCGTGCGAAGAATCGTTTTCATTACTTTATCTCGATTAAAGTAACATATTAAAATATCTTCTCACATTGCGAACACCTGCGGTCCTTCGATCCCTCGAACACGCGCTATATTTCAAACATCCGTTCAATATGGCGTATATACGTATATGTTGCGGGTCGAAGATTCAGGTCTACCAATATAAAATAAAATTCTCTATGTCTAGTGAACGTTTGTATTCACGGTTTTTCACCAGAGGTCTCCGTGTTCTCTGTTAGCAAAAATGATAGAAGGAAACATAACCTCGATGCGGATGTTCGTATATTTTCTCGATTGAAACGTCAAGCTGCGACTAAAAGCGCATGAGATACCCTGTTGTAATCGTAAATAATATTTGTAAATAATATTCTTTTGTATTTCCACGTATCACAAAATATTACGGCTGTTATTTGAACAATAATACTGACCAGATTTAACTAATTCTTATTATTTTTCGTAATTTAATATGTAAACATACTGAAATAACATACGGAAACCTTGGTAATTTATACCGGTAAAATTGCACAACGTTAAAGTAGCGAGAGAAACTATGACATCGATCGCGGAAAATGTGGAGGAAAAAATACAAGAGGATCCAATCCGTTGTATATTTTTCTCCGAATTTCATCATATAGCAGGACCTAAAATTACATGTCAGGTAAGAAAAAAAAAAGTATCGCAAAATATAGATAATTAATATTTTACTGCACGCATATCTCACATGAATTATACGATTTTGCAGGTACCCGACAATTTTATATCCAAGGATATTTTTGACAATGTCAGCGTTTATATCATACCAAAGGCCCAACTACAAAGGAGCACTATCACAGTGTAAGTTTAAAAAATTAGAATTCAAAAGAGATAAAGTTGATTCTTTACGAATTATATTCACTAATTTCTTTCTTTTTTTTTTGTTGCAGAACCTTGAAAGACTATAAAATCTTGGGGTTTCCTGTGAAGATCGATGATAAGAAATATGCAAGAAATGCATTTTACTTCAACTTGTGCTTTGTTTGTGACGCAAAAGCTCGTACTGTTCATTATGAGCCAGTGGTTAAGAAAATGTCAGACTTCTTGGTAATAATTCGCTTCTATTCCTTGATACTTCTCGTGCTTATGAGTAGCATTTAACGTTTCGTAATTTTTACATGATCGTCAGATGGCTTTGGAAATAGAAAATTGTTTCTTATCTGCCTCAGATGATAAGACCAGATTAGCAGAGGTGCTCGCGCAGGTCAAGCAGGACTTAAATCTGCACAAGATGTGTACACTGACCGGTAAGTTTTTTTTACAATTTCCACACCGAACATCGACAACTTGTATTATCGTCATGGTAATATTTTTTTAGAAGGGACAATGACATCTCATTTAAAGGTAGTGAAATTAGCACCCGAGCCAAAGCCGGTCCTCGATCACCAAGTACCGATATTCTTGGAGAGCAGAGAGGCGTTTCACAGCGACCAGTGGGACCTAACTACGCAACAAGTATTACCTTACGTCGACGGCTTCAACCATGTGGCGCGCATAGCGGCTGAAGCCGATGTGGAGAATAATCTAGTCAAGAGCTGTGTGCAAAATCTTGTGTGAGATGCTCATCGGAGGAATCGAATACTATCGAAATGACAGTTTCGATTACCGCCGATTGGCCCGACTAAACGTCTTCTCTTGCAGATATTACGGGGTTGTGACTCTGATACCGATATTTCAATACAGTAACGTTTACGCCGCGACCCCGAAGCTCAAGCAGCTCGCGGAGGATGTTAAGTTACAGGAGAGGTGTATAGCGTACGCTTCGAAACTGCGTGAGTGCTTAGTCAAGCGTTACAATATGTCCTTCTCGGTGACACGACGTGATTCCGTTTCTCCCCGTAGCCAGGCAGCCTGCGTACCTCAGGGACATATATCGTATGTACGCGAGCATGACTCACGGCAACAGTATGAGAGACCTGTGTCAGCGTCTCAACCCGCAGATGCTGCGAATAAACGAGAGGAGGCTGGTGCAGTTCGGCCTGATCGAAGGGCTCATCAGGAGAGTGTACAACGTGAGTGACCCTCGCCTGTGCATTCGTCAACAATAAAAACAAAACAATTCGTCGACACTAGATATTAATAATACGATATTATTAATTATTAATATCCAATGGCACTAAAAAAGCTATATTTGATTCCTCACGGCCATATTGACGATTTTTCCCCTGAGGAACTTTAACACTTGAAGATTTAATGTCGATATTGTTTTTATTACAACTGCAAGACAGTTCATCTCATTCTTGTTCCGCAGTATCCTGTGCTCCTCGTCCCTAGCGCATCTTGCAGCGAGGAAACGAAGAATCACGCGGTCTACAAGTACTTCACCGGTGCGTACAGCCTCGACGAGATATGTTGCCGAACAGGTCAGTCCGCCGCGCAGATCGAAGATATCATTGAGCGCGAGCCGAATGTCGTAATGTTGTGGAAGTGACGTCGAAATAGACGATATAATCCACACGGGCCTCGCGAGCCGCGAGTTTTGGACGCGGATAAACTTGGATACAGACTATCGATAAGATTTCTTTTCCATTTTTTAATATATCATATGCCTCCATATGTGACAGAATTTGTATATACGGATAATAAAGCAGGAAGCATTCGCGCCTCGTCACCTTGAGAAACATACTCGAATCGGTCTTTCTCTATTCGAAGGTCGGCCCGTGTAATCTATTGAATATTCTCCATCATCCGTTTCATTTCGTCGATGTAAACCTTCGGCACCCGGTTCTCTCTCACCTCCTGGCACTTGCGCTCGATTACGTCTTGCAGCAGCTTCTGGCGCTTCTCAGCTTCCGCACGCATCGCCAGACCTTCTTCGAATATCTTCACTCGCTGGACGATGTGTTCTCGCTCTTTCTCATTTACCTGTAAGCGAGACAAGCGTTAACGTGTGTGTGTGTGTGTGTGTGCGTGTATGAACATGTTAAACCTTATCTCGTGATTGAACACGGGAATTAATAATACGAACTTGTTTCAATATCTCATCGCGAAGAATCAAAGCTTGCTGCTGCCTGCGCTCGAGTTCCTCCTTTTCCTTGCAGAGAGCCGCTTGCTGCATGCTTATAATTCTCTCGGATTCCTGTTTATTCCGCTGCATCTCGATGGCTTGCAAAAATCGCTTGTTATTTATCTGCTCCTCCCTTCCCTTTTGCAGCGTTTCTTGAGCTAACAGCTTTTTCCGGGCCGCTTCCTTCTCTTTTTGTCTCCATTCCCGCTCTACCTGTTCGCGAACCCGAATCACGTTGATTTCGTCGATGAGCGCCTGCAATTTTATCGTCACCGGGTTTCGTTCAGTTGCAATCGATGGTCTCTTCATTAAATATTATTCTAACGCACACGTATTGATCCGGATTTATAATAGATAGATTTATATACGTAGTAGACCTTTGCCTTTTGTCTAAACACTAAATTCCCAGTAAGCATGAAATTAAATTAAATTAACGTAGCGTCATTACAATGATATTTTGTAATTTTTTCAAATATGTAGTTCTTAATATTTACAACGTCAACCTTTACAGACCGGACGGTATTTTGGGCGACTTTTACAGTTTTCTAAACTAGAACTTTTTCATATACGTCAAAAAATAGACTAATGGAATACGTGGCACTTCCATCGCACCGGTAGAATTGTTTCGCGGTTCGTACGGACACGTTTCAAACTGACTTTCTTCCTTATTCAATCTGAATCAGAAACTTTTTTTTATGTATAAAGAATAATGAGAAAATTATTTCTTTATTTTTGATAAATTATGCAAAAATGTGGAATATATCTGATGCTAAAATAAAGAACGCTGATGCGTCCATGTAGAAATAATGATGATGACAAAGCACACGGAGCCTCGGGTAATTTCGAAACGAGTGCACATATGGTAGATAGCGAGGCTTGACGTGGCGTTCGTGGATTCATTGACCTTTGACAACAAGCGCATAATGGGTAGTTGAAACGCACATACAATGGTAAGTACGGAGATAATCGTAAAAGTATCGCGCAAAATGATACGCAAGATGCGATATAATAACTTATTATTAACTTATTATTTAAATTATTCCATTCCCATTCAGGAAAATTCGTCGCGATATCGCAAATGAGTTTCGCAGAATGCATCACGCACTGCGAAAAAGATTTCTCCAAATTTAATCAATTTTATCGCATCCAAACAAATTTCATCACTGGCATGCTCCAGAGGAACTAATATTTCGATGAATAAGTACGATTGTTAGACTCTTCAACGAATATGTATCTTTATCTTAAATGAAGAATTTGTTTGTGAAACGAATGATAATTTTCTTATAAAGAAATTATCTGTTTCATTTTATATATTTATTGTGACCAAATGACATTTTATTTGATTGAAAGATATTATTTCAAATAATAGCGTTCTTTCTGTTGAATAATAGAGTTTTCTTAAGACAATAATATTCCGTATATGTTGTTTCTATGAGGTAAATTTTAATCAAATAAATGAAAATACTAAATCTAAAGAAACTTTTTTTTCTGTGCGTGAAAATATTCCGTTCAGCAGTATAAATTCGATTGGGTATAAGTATATCGATATTTAATACCTGAGTTTCGATCTTTTGTACCCTCTGCGTCGCTACTTTGATTTGCTCTTGCTCTTTTCTCGTATTTTCCCGTCTCTGCTCTTCCGCCTTCTTAGCCTCTCTCTCCCCCTTCTGCCGGTGGTAATCTAGTATCCTGAAGAAAACGCGTGTATTTGAAGAGCGAAATTTTTTTCTGGCTGTGCACTTCCTGAATTATTATCTCTCTTTTATTTCTCTCTCTCTCTCTCTCTCTCTCTCTTCCATCACCAGTGTGCATGCGATACGTTTTAAACCCTTCGTTAGTCGCAATATCCAACAGATATATGTTCAGACAATTACCGCCGTTGTTGTACGGCCTCAAGATCGAAACTCTTCCTCGTCAATGTTTTCTCTTTGTTCTTCACTGTTTTTTACGTACTTTAGTGCCTATTGATCTATTAGCCAAGCGCTAATGAGAGAAGAACTGTTTCAAGAAGCCGAGGAAAATAGTGGAAAAATTAGTGTGTTATCTGTGAGATACGTTGCGTTCCTCAGTGAAAAATATTGCGACTAACATAGAGTTCAATACAAACAGTGCAATTTCCCAGGAAAAAATAATTATATACGGTTACATATAATTATATAATTAATTATATATAAATTATATATGGACAAATTTCACGCGTGCATAATTCGGCACGATTACGTACAGCCGTGCATGATTATATATGCAATTTTTTTAAGAACAGAGCCAGATTCGCAAGTAAGCCAAGGAACGCACGAGGTGTGTTCAAATAATCTCGAATTTGACCGCGAGAGATACCTCAGATCTATAATTCGGTTCTCCTCTTGCTCCATGGTCTTATAGTGTTTCATCTGTTCGTACGATTCCTTGAGTTCCTGTCGCAACCGGACGTTCTTGGCTTCTTTCCTGCGTTGCCTCTCCATCTCGTCCCGCTGCCACGCGACGTTATTCGCATCGATGAGCCGGCTCTCCTCTTGCTTCTTCTCGAACTCGAGATTCCGCTGCTCCTCGTTCTCCTTGATCTGCTCCTTCAGGAATTGGGCGAATTGCAGCCTCCTGGCCGCTTCCTCCTGTTCCTTCCGCAGTTCCTCCTTCACCGCCCATCTCCTCTCGTCCTCCATCATTTCGTCCAGCCGTTTCTCCTCCTCGACGATCTCCCGTTCGATCAGCTTCTTCTCCGCGATCTGCGCAAAGTACGAGGCAGCTGATCGTATCGAAGGTGTCCGATTTTACTTAGAGATCGCGAAATCGAGAATCGGTCGGTTCGGATCACCTGGGCGTCGCGGATAGCCCGGCACTTGGTTTCCAAGATAAACCGATTGCACCTTTGTATCTCCTGCTCCTGCTCGAGCCGCATGTTTTGCGCCCGGTCCAGGGTGTGCATTGTCCTCTTTCTCGCTTCCTCCTCGATCTCCTTTATCCTCGGGTCCTTCTCGCGATATTTCTGCAGGTCCATTTGTTTGCGCATCGCCTCCTTGCGCTCCATGCTCTCCCTCGTCAGTCTATCCTTTTCCTTCTCCGCGGCCTCCGCGGCCGCCTGTCTCTCCTCCTTCGTGATCACGCGATTGCGTTCCCTCAGGCGCTCGTACTCCTCCTTCGTCATGATTTTCGGATAAACCGCGGGTTTACTCGAGGGTATCAGGTACTTCCTCGCGCCACTTTTATCCCTTATCTTGCCGATCTGTTAAATTTACGGTCATTTTTACCATGACTTTACTCTCGGAGCTGGGTTATCCCGCGGATAACCCAGTAAGCAAGAGACGTTAAATCAATCTTTCGAAACAGTTTTGCGTATTATTGTATGAACAAAACAATTAGAAGTACCAGGAGAATCAAGTTAAATATTTCTTTAACACTTAACCCTCAAGTAACAAAGTAGAGAGCATTTTGTAGACTTCAAACCAATTTTTTCGACCAGGTACTTTTTATTCTCGCGATAAGCTAGAATATATTTAAAAGTGAATAAAATATATCGTAAAATATATAAAAGATTTGAATACAACGCTAAGATGAGAGTAAATATATTTGCAAAAATATTAAATTCCGGTCGGATCCGAGCAATCCTGTTATCTGAGGGTTAATACAATCGCGATCAGCGAGCGAGCGGACAGGTAAACCGCGCGAGGCGGTCTTCCGGGGCGGGCAACATCCTGCTTTTACAATCGATTACCTCTTTTCCCTCGTACGCGCTAGACCTTCTCAAGTGAATTGGCTTGCCTCCGAGCATGTGATCGCAGACCGTCGGCGGATGGATCGTGTACACCCCCGCCGGGAACTTGGGATCGCCGCGGTACTCGTAGCTGCCGGACTTCGTTTTGCGCACCATGGTCTTCGACATGATCCTCGCGTGTCGCGATACCACCAGCTTCTTTTAGTATCGGCGAAGTATCACCGAAACGACAGCTGCGACTTGCGTGTGAAGAGCCGGCTCTTCATCGGGGTGCCGTTGTCCTCCGCAGCGTTTGAAATTGTAAAGCCCTGCCGTACACACGGCGTGTGACGCGTAGATCCTTCTTCGCTTGAAAAATGAAAGGAAGGAAGGATGAGAAACGGTGCGACGCGTCTCGAAAAGAACGGACGACTGCGGTGGAGGAGGAAGGGGGGGAGAAAATGACGAGGACGAAGATGATGACCCCGCTGGGAAGACGGGAACAGTTCGAGTAACCTGATAGCAGCGACGATCGCGGCGAGACACTGCCGTTAACTGTTTGCCGGCGAGCAACCGTTCCTTTGTTTGTTCGATAGGAATTATGTCAACGGGGGATACAGGTGGCCGATCGTGTTTCGCGTTGCCGCGAATCCGTTACTCGCAGGCCAGCTAATAATCTCACGGCGAAAAGCGACGATAGCAACGTTCGATCGGAGAAAATATTGATGTTGACGGAACAACAACGCTACGGGCGGGAAATGAACGCAAAATTTGATTTCGCCCGGTCGAGATCGGGAGATACGTTCGCGACACCAGGCGTGGAAAAAGGACTCGCATTTTTTTAAGACTGACTTACTAAATTTTCTCGCTTTTCCAAGGACAAGGCTCATTCTTCTCGCTATTTTTGACAAGTAAACCGCCCCCGTGTCTGCAGTACGATTGTGGAGGTGGATTTTGTGGTTGACAAAGGGGGAGAAGCGCACTGGCCGCTCTAGTTTGCGTAACGCAAGGATGATAACGCGTGATGCGTGTGCAAAAAAGTGAGGGAAAATGAAGGGGACTTCGGCAAAACGTGAAATTACGCTTCTCTCGATACGCGTATGCATACATGCGTACGCCTATCGCGTGAGCGAAATTAAGCGAACGCGCGCAGTATCGTGCAGTATCCGATAAAGGAGGACGAAACTTACGCCATTGGCACGCACCTGTGTCTTTTTTTTTTCTTCTTCCAAGGGGAAGAAAAATACAAGTAAGAAATACAAGTAATCGATCGACGATTGTTCGTCGGCGGATAGGTGCAACGTACTTTGCGTGTTCGCATTTATACGTATGTCCCCACACGGATATTTAATGTGGTTGCGAGACGATCTTAAATGTTTATACACACTTTTATTAAAATTACCGCATCGCGGTCCGATCCCATTCATTATCCGCCCGCTGCGTTCTCATCCCTGCACCTGACCTTCCCTACCGTTAGTTGCCATGAGAACGTAATTCACGCTTCGCCCAGAACGAGAAAAAAAAGACTCGACCTGTAGTATATTATTCTTTCCAGGTATAACTTGTATAATTTATTTCTTGAGGTGATTCGTCGTTTTCTTAATTCTACACCGTCATCATCATCATCATTATTATCGTTATTATCTTCTTTTTTCTCTTTTTTTTCTTTCAGTGCTACATTGTTCGCACGGGACCAGCGAGAATTGCAAATGGCTCGTGTCTAATAATCCCGGAAATGGGACGTCAACTTTTCACGTAATAATTATCCGATCGATATTAAAATGTAGAGGTTTTACACAAATGTTTAACAATTCAAGGCAGAAGACAATCGATCCCGCGTGTGTGTAGGGACACGCTTTACATACGCGAGTTAAATTTAGCTCGCGGCTCTTTGGATAAAAGAGGAAAAAAGCAGCCCGAACACCTCAAAGAAGGATCGGGCTGCGGATAGCTGTTATATATTATTACGTAAAATATATAATAAAGTCTTTTTCCTTTCGAAAGATGAAATAAGATAAAAGACGCTATACGAGCAGTTTCAAGCACTTTCCGGTCTCTCTTTGCGGAACTTAAATTTCCCATCATTTCGCTTACGCAGAGTAGAAGCTGTATTCCTGATCTACCATTTAAGGGGGCCCAACTCGCTTTTATCGCTTATATTTTATAAAAATGACTTAAGGAGGTTCGAATGTTTGACCAAATATAAGATAAACCCGTGATACATACATGATACAAAAGTCAATCGAATTAACAATGCGCAATAGAAATTTCAAATGTTATCTTTACTGTATTGTTTTCGAGATATTTAATTATAAACTTATACATGTGCAAGCATAGAAATCTCATAAAACACCGAATTTCTTCTAACTCGACATATTTGTGTATAAGATGGAAATTAAAAAAATTATTGTAATATTAAATATAATATTATAACATTAGAGACTAATATACGGATATTATAGACAAATATGCTTATCTCAATTTCATTTCAAATTAACATTTATTATCTGGTTAGTGAAATAAATATATAGAGAAGAAATTTTGCTTGATAAATAGTTAATTTATGAGAAGCCCCTTTGGAAATATAACAATTAGCGCTTGAACCTCCTTAAATATGACTTCTCGACTAATCAAGTGGTTTCCAAGTCACTTTTAAAGGCATTTTTATCGGTAAAAACGAATTAAGAATATTCCAGGAAGCATGTTTTACCCAATAGACACCCCGTAGGAACGTCCTCTGGATATATTTAGGACACCCTTTGCATGCCTGTGCTATATGAGATGTCTTTGTTCTTAGTCCTCACTTAGAGTACCAATAAACAATTTATCCACCTATTTTTGCATTCACCATGCAAATCGCGGTGTATCCTGCAGTCCGCGATGTAATCATGAAATGATGAATTCATCAGTTGGGGTTCGTCGTCGTCGTCGTCGTCGCTATCGCCGCTGCCGCCGCCGTCGTTGATCCGAGAGGGCTAATGACGACAGCCCCCCACGGTAACGACCTCAGACTACCACGTGGCACTGCTCTATGTACTTCGAGACATCACATTCGCGTGCTGTACACCGGCTCCGGCGCATCGGTCGGTCGCGCCGCGTCCCTAGATATAAAATCACGTAGTAAATCAGACCATGAGACGAGAGTTAAAACGTGCGCGACGATGAATCATCGATGAAGTGCGCCTCGCTCCCCGTTCGGACGAGGTAGTCGACGAGGTAGGAGGAAGAGAACCGTGTGAAAACATTGCGTTAAGCCGCGTTAAGACCGCTCACGGGCGCTCCGAAGTTTGTACGTGAAGTAGTGTTCGCTCAATAAAGAAGTGAAAATGGAAGAGTGAAGGAGAAGGGTGAAGTCGGAGCGGTCGCCGAGCCATGAGTGAATCCTCGGATCATCCGTGTGATCAAAATAGCAAGTGTGAAAGTGGATATTGACGAAGTCGGTGACGCCTGGATGAGAGCGCGACTTCGCTACCGTTACTTCGCCGCAGCGTCGGGGTGTGCATGTCGGCCGTCGCTGCGTACCACCAGGCCTGCTTCTCAAAGACCACTGTGTGTGTATGGACGAAGATGAGCTAACTTGCATTATCGGAGATGGTCGATGAAGTCGAGGCCAATCCGGACCGCTAGGTAAATACCGTTCTTTACGTTTCGCTGGACTTATTAATTTACGATCATTGAGAGAGAGAGAGAGAGAGAAAATTAGTTGACTTACCGACTACTGACCGGTAGTTTTCACTGGAGGAGAGGGAGGTCGGGATCCTCGAGCGCGAAACGCCTGGACGACATTAGGCTCGTCGACTTGGTAAGTCAAGTAATTTCTTCATTTCGCAAACTAATCCGCCAGTGCCACAGGCTTCTTACGGGCCTCTTCCAATTATCCAAAGATTGCGCATCCCGAGAGTCTTCTTTATTACAGCCAGCGAATACCAACCAATAGACTGACGTAATATCAATGTTATAATTTCCCACTCGACGATGTAACTGTAATATAACACACGCGTTCTAATGCATTTAACTGTTACTGTTAGTGTTACTGTTAGTTGGTGTTTATTTATTTTTTGGGTATATATATTTATTTAGTTAGCTCACGCGTCAAGAAGGGACTTGGTTTACAATTTCTACTTCGATCGAACTCATTCATCCGCGTCTTATAACTATCTGACAACTAGACAAGATGTTCTAATGTTTAAATATCTCACAGGCAATACTTCTATATTCACCTTCATTTCTTTTCTACTTAATTCTTGCAGTAACCCTGAACAATTTATCACTTCTCACAACTCTTTACTTTCATCCCTTATTCCTCTTATCTATGTCGCTAGCTTTATCTCTTTCCTCTTCTACAAGTTCTTCTCTCTCTCTTTTCATCACTTACGTAATATTCCCTACAATTGTATTCAACTCATCATCTCATATTCTTCTTCATTTTTCGTCCTTATCATTACCTAGTTTCTTCAAACCATTATCTTATTCTACGACATTCTTCTATATAATGTTTTATACATAATCCTGTTCTTGTCCACAGAACATAATACTCATGCATTTCTTCCCCAATCGATATTTATTCGGCTAAATCTTAAGATTTACGCTTCTTAATTTAACTAAAGCCCTAACCTTATTTCCCATCCTCAGCGAGCCTCTCTTATTACATTATTTTTGCTTGATTACTCCGAACCCGATAGACCTGGCGTCGACATGCTGAGAACCGAACCCCGTTGGTTTTCTTTTGTAACGCCCGATCATCGATGAACGATCACACATAGCACGTATACGTCGCGCGTCTTCAGCCTGCTTGAGATAAATAACAATCGGCTTACGATCTAATTGTTATCTTGAACGAACAGGTGACTCACGTCGAGAAAGCGTTGCAACCCGTTCGCCTTCATAGTTCTCGTTCGGCACCTGTCGGCGCATCGCAAAAATCCAAGAAGCACCGGTCGCGAAATCGCAAAGTTCTCCCCGCGACTTCGCTTAGCACTACGCGTGGGACTTTGCCTTACTCGATCGATATACTCGCTTCTATAAGCATACGCGTAATAATAAGTGCAGATGGATCGCCGGTATTAGAACTTCTGCGAAGAGACGGCCGGGGAATCGCGAGTAGAGTATAAAATGTTATTTCTAACGCACTTTGCTTTGGAGACAAAAAAAGAACATTTAAAAATCAAATACAAAGTGTACATCCCTCAAAAATAGCAAAAAAAAAGAACGAAGAAAAAGCCATTTCCCAATTTTCGTTATTGAAAGATACAAATTTTCTCACGTTTTTTCTGGCGCACTTCCAGTCAGAAAATGAAAATCAAGCAAAACCATTTCAAAATTGAGGTATAAATCCCTCAAAAACGAGGTTTCAAACTCTAAGAATCCTCAAAACTGCTATCTTCTACCACGAAAATTGTTGTCGAAATTTCTGGCGCACCCGGGATTGGGAGATTAAAAGTCGATAAGAAATCATCAATATATTTATTTACTTCTATTTAGTTTATTTATTTTTATTTATAATTTCCTCATAATTTGGTAAGATAATACAATTTCATCGGCCTGTTTTACGAAGTTCTTGTTTCATACATTTGGTTTCTCGAATAAATCACCAAGCATATCGTCTTTGATTTAGCAGTGACAATACAAGCTTGTGTTAAGTATCGAACAATGTACAAAGGTATTATTACTGTGACCGATAATTTGACAATGGCATATTTTCTCCCAGTGACTTCATGTGCAACAGGTACGGTGATATCGAAGTCCAGCGACTTCAGCTACGGCTGCGATACAAGGCAGAGTGACATCGTCTGCTTGAAGAGTGATTTATTTTTCGTTTTGCCCCACAAGAACAACGTAATCTGCGTCATCTTCATATTTGCTTCTGTTAAGGATTCGATGGAAGTCGAGTGCCTACCGGTGCGATTGTCAGCCCGGTGGGACACGACATGGCGAGGTTGCCCACCCGCAAGACGCCGCTCTCGACGACGTTCGGGCCCGCCTGTCTCGCGAAAGCGAGAACAATATCAATATTGTTATGTAATATATCAATATACAATATATCATCTATATTTTCTAATTCTTCATTTTTCCATCCATTTAGAGTCTTTTCGCGATAAATTTTCATTTTCTGACCGGAGGTGCGCCAGAAAAAATATGAGAAAATTTGTATCTCTCAATAGCGATTGTGAGGTGGCTTTTTCCTCGTTTTTTTGTTGGCTATTTTTGAGAGATATACACCTCGTTTTGGATGGTTTTTAGATGTTTCTTTATTTCCCGAGCGAAGTGCGTGAGAAATTTTATACTTGACTATCGTGGAGCGATTTTTCTTTTTTTCGAAACCGGTCGCCGAACTCCAGCGAATTTCATTAATGTTCGCGAAGAAGGATGTCTATGACCCTCATATACCCGGATGTAGACATTGCTATTGCAGCAAAGCGGAGGCGTACGTTACGTTTGCTGTACAAATCTATCTATAGCATTCATCGGCCACATCGCCGTACATATAGTTGTCATGACAAAGGAACCCGAGGAACGACCGACGATGTCTTCTCCTTGCGAGCCGCGCTCTGTGCGTTATCGGTTAATGAAATTTCAAACGCCTCTCTCGCGCACGGAAAAATAAAGATTAGCCGCAGCAGTTAAATTAGCTTGTTAACATATGGACACATAAAAACTTTAGCAGCGTACACTCTAAGTTTCTCAGAGTGAGTTCCGAATTAGAATGGCGGTATTTTCACTCGTTCGGAGTGAGTCCGGACTTTTAAAAGAAATCTAAATAAATTTCTTTTAAAAGTGCTGCGGCAGCAAATTCTTTTCCCGCAAAGGAGTTCCGCTACAGCAGCAAGTTGCTCGCTAAAGCTTTTCAGGCCTTCATACGTTATAACTAATTCACTGCTACTGAAACAGCTGATCTTTTTCCTCCGTGCGAGAATTCAATTGATTAAAAAGCGCGCCGATATATTTTTCCGCCTCGAGCGGGATGGGTTAAGGCCGATTATTCGACGCGCTCCTCGCGCAGAGGATGTGGCGGATATTCCTCCGCAGGGAGCGTGCGACCGAGGGCCGGCGAGAAATCCTCCTTCAGGAACTATGTTGCGATCGCTAGAAAGCGGCACGCAAAGAAACGACAAACTACTCTCTCGCTACCGGCGCGGCAGGTGGTAGTACAAGGTTATACACAGGACGTACACTAATGCAGAACTACAAAGAAGATACCCGTAAGTGGACCGGTGAATTATGAAAGAACTTCTCTCTCTCTCTCTCTCTCTCTCTCTCACTTTTTCTCCTCGAAAGGGTTCCACGGCTGATTATGTCGACGTTGCATCGACGATAATCCAAAGGGTGAAGCATGAAACATTCATCCTGCTCGTATCGACGGAGCGATGCTCAACAGAAATAAGGACAGGGAGACGGATAGACGGACAAGGAGGGGTGCACATTAGAAATTCCATTTTTCGAAACAACATCCCAACGAGTTTCTCTACTTTGAGCGCTGTCGGAACGACGCTGGCGAGTCTTGTTTGCGTCTACCGAGGCTCGTCGATCAGCGAGATCGTCCTGCAGAAATAACAGATTTTCCAATGGCGATATCGTGAATGACATTTGCCCGTCGTGGAGGATAAAATAAGAAACAAATTAACGCCCGCAGCGTTCTATTTGCGATTTGCGGCGACGGCAAAAACGCACGTTGCGTCGGCACTTGTAGGAAAAAAAAATTAATTGAAAAGCAGAACGGGATGGCAGTTGTAGCGACGTTAGCCGGCCGCTTTATCGTAAGCGAGTTATCATTAAACCTTGAGTAAGCGTGTCACTGTATACGGTTGTAGATAAGTGAGGCATTAGCAGCTGTAATGCATACAATGTTGCTTAGCAAGCTCCTGCTTGTCGAAACACGCAGATATCGAGCGTTCAGTACATACGTAATTTCGAAGACTGGCGGAGTTACAGAAAAGAGTATTTAGTTCAGCACTATTCCAGTGTTTGCCTTAGATGATTTCAGATCTCATCTAGACGAAGATGAGATGAAAATCCAAAAAATTCATTTTAGATGAGACGATGATTTTGTTTTTATCTATAATGAAAGATAAGTAGCGCTACTTATCTAGATAATTTTCTTGTTAGTAGTGTTTTCGCGAGAGGTTTTATAAAAATTTATAATAAAAATTACGCAGATCATAAAATTGCGCAACGGTCAATTCGCCAATGCAATTGCTCTATTTAAAGATCTAACAAAAAAGACCGATAACCATTTAGATTGCTCTCTAATCACTGTTTTCTGCACGCAGTTATTATTTCAGTCTATTTCTAATAAAACTCATGTCAGATTACTGACGGTGCTCTTGAAAAGACGCGGAGGACGTCGTGGAGGCATTACGGAGATAAAGAGAGAGATAAAGAGAGAAAGAGGCCAGGAGAAGGAAAACAAGCGCAGCGAGACATCAACGTGATCGACTCTCTTGCGTGCGCGAGGGTCCCTTCTCCGGTCGTCCTTCCGGCTCCCTTCGCCGCCTGCGCCGAAGGATGCGCGCCTCCTGAGCGGCCAATTGAAACCGGCCTGTCGCGCCGAAGGGCTCTCGAAAGGGCCGTGTCACGCGTGTAGTGTTAAATAGAGGGGGAAGACGGCACCACGCGGTTCTCTCGGCACCACCGCCGAGGCCCGCGCGCACCTTCGCGCGCGTGACAGTCTCGGTGGCACGTGGACGCGTATCGCGGACGGGCCGCCGCCTCCAAGTGGTATCGAACGCGGAGGAGCCGAGTGTTATGTTTGCTGCGGCACCGTTCGGGCGGCTGGTGATCTCAGCGCGCGCGAAATGCCCGATAAGGAAGAAATGCATCTCGCCCGCGTCGTCGTGCTCCCACGTCGCGCAATTACTCCGGCGATGGTAACGAGATACGGCCGTCCGCGAGAGTGTTCCTCCGGGCTCGACCAAGTGCCAAGTACCGTCGGCTACTGGACTCCCCTTGGTGTTTCTCGGCGGAGCCACTGAAGTTTCTCCTAAAGGGAAGAGTAGAAGAGAGGGAGAGAGGAGAAACGCGCTTATCGAGGAAAATTATACAGTTATTTCCGGTATTAGCTGTAATACTTTCACAGTTTCAACTACGGGAATAGCAGCGGCAGTGCGCACGTGAAGGTCATCATCATTGACACCTTGCTGGGGGAACCGATTCTCCCGACTAATAATTCTTTTACCGTGATTCGATTATGTTCGCAAGTACGAAATATTTTTCTCTCCCGGTGTGCTGTTTTCGCGAAAGAGAGACACATAGGCGCTCGTAGAGGAGGGAAGAAATGACAAAGTAGGGGAGGAACGGAAAATGGTAAGATTGCGGGAATTGCACGGGAGGAGCGTGAAGTGCACAAATTCGTCGATGCTAAACGACGACTGAGAGCAACGACGGAAGGTGGCGAACGAAGCAAGTTCCGTCACCACCCTCTGCGACCGCGACCGAGAGCGAGAGAGAAGAGCGCGCGTTGCGTTTATAATACGTGAGAATTACAACGACGTACGTGTCTGATAGACTGAATTAATGATACATTGAATATGAATGCGAAACATTATCTGCAACTTTTTATCGTGCTTCGTTGTATCGTATCTATGCACGATTGCTTCACGATATTCACTTAGCTCCTGGATATGCCGACGCGAAGGTAATTTGCATTTCGTACTTCTTTTGTTATTAAAATTAACACAATCATTGTGACATCGGAAACATACACCGGCGACCGGCTGACGTGTCTAACTGCGGCGAGCTTATAATCATCCTTAGAAGAATTTAAGCGTATTTTTTGCATAAAAAATAGAAACAGAGAGATAACGCGATTGTTAAAAATACATGTACGTGCGACAATGCGCCGCTTAAAATATTGTTGAAAGTATTCCTTAAAAACGTATATATGTGGAGTATGAGAAAATTACACAGACGTATATATATAAAGTCACCGAAGAAAGTACGGCAACACAATCTCGTCAATCTCGTAATCTAAGCTGCGGACTTGCTTCCCACTTGTTAGCCGTAATTTCGTTTAAACGTTGATTGCCGTGTCATTTAGCAATTACATTCGCAGTTTTGATCGCAATGTTAAGCTGATTCTAATTACATTTCAGATACACGTTCGTAGCGTTCGCATGTTGTATTGATGAAACTTTTCACCGTACGTGGACGTTTCTCTTTTCATTTTTCAATTGCCTCAAGGGGGAATCGTTCCCTTCGCTTTCGAGTTCTTCGGTGCGATCGTAAATTTCCGTGCAAATGAGAAAAAAAGAGAGAGAAATGCATGTGCGTCTGACGAGGGAAAGAGATAGGGATAGAGAAAGAGAGACAGAGAGAGTGGCAAGGGAGGCGTGCATCGCGTGCGAAACGTAATTTCTCCCTTTTTCGTATGTTCTACACATCGTGCGGCGGACAGTCGATGCACAATGCGTACGAACGATCGATAAGAATCGATAGGAGGAGCCTTCTAACTAAAAAAGAAAAAAAAACACAGTAGAACAGTTGACATGTTGCGCACGAAGCTTCGCAATTATTGCCTTCCCTTTCATGAGTGCGTCTCTCTCTCTCTCTCTCTCTCTCTCACTCACTTTTCGCTCCCTCCCTTCTCTATGTATTATTTGCATCGCGAGACTTCGTTCAACTTCATCGACCAAAACTACTAAAGTATACCGTTGGCTTTTTAATACTTAATTACCTGCCTTTCCCCCCTTTCAACCGCGATTATTGCAGCGCGTGTTTCGCGCATGGAAGGGAGATGGAGGACGTCGCCTTTCTGAATACTTTTAAATGCGACCGGAGCAAAATATCCTGGCGAACTTTCGAGCGAGTCTTCGAGTCGCGCGTCACTTGACTGATCACGTCAAGGAAAATGCGATCGCGCGATCAGCAGCAGTAGGACGTCGCGCTGAAGCCGCGCAAGAGAAAGCCGCCGTCGCCGTCGCCGACGAGGGAAAAATCCAGCAACGACGAGTCGCTCGCGCGATCTCACCGGCCCAGGGTCACGATATCCCGCGGCGAAGAGCCGCACGGCCGGTCGGACGAGAGGAGCTCGACTCCTGAATTTAGCGGATGCACCGCCGACACCAACGTTCTCACCCGCGACGTCGTCGAGCTCTTCGAGAACGGGAACCGCCACATCACGTTGGAGGAGCGTACCACTTGCACACGGATCTCCAGCTCGATGGAGCTGCAGGAGAAGGACGCGATCGACGAGTGCTCCACGTGCAAGGACTGCGCGGAATGCCAGCTGCAGAGCAGCGCCGCGAAGACCCGCGAGACCGATGGCGATCTGACGAACGACGAGGAACACTTCGATTACTACGAGAGCGAGCTGAACGAAACGGCCTCTATGTCGAGCACGGTCACCTCGATCGACTACGAAGTTCCCATACTCGTGGACCTGACCAGTGAGGAGTCGAAGGCCACCTGGAAGCAAACGATCCTCAAGCGATTCGGCGACGGCAAGAGCGCGGAAATGTCGGGTGAGAATGCGAGTCAACACACGGAAAACGAACGGATCAGTGGATATATTAATCGTGTTGTACAGTCACACGACGACGTTTGAAGGTTGCGACACCTTTTTTTTTTCGTTGAGTTTCGCAACGCATCTCGTATCCAATAGGAAAACGTATCTCCTGAAAATTATTCAAAAACAGATTCTCCTATTGGACGGAAAATGTGTTATGAAACTCATCGAAAAAAAAGTGTTGCAATATTTAATTCGCCGGCTGTGTGTATATGTTTGTGTGTGTGTGTATGTGTGTGTACCTTACTTTGAGATGTCGACGTCAAAGAGTAAATATATGACACGTCGCCGGCCACACTCGGCACGTACAAATAGTCGCGCAAAATACGCACAATATACCTTCGCGAATGTCGTCAGTGTCAGATGTACTGACCTCTGAATATCTTTCTTTGCCTCGTTTAACGTCGCCTTTTAAGACTCTTTCGGTCTCATAACACAAAGGAGGAGGTATTCGCGTTATCTTGATCATTCATAGGCGTGCCGAAGAATACATAACACATGAAAGAATATCCAGATCTCATGAATAAGCTTATTCATTTTCTCACTTATTAACGGGGAGGTCAATTGTTTGAAGACAAAATGTGAAATTCTAAAGCAGATTCTGCCGCCGAATTGAATTATCGGTCTTACGTTATTTTTGGCCTCAATCCTTTAATTTTATAACATAGTAGGAGTTAAAAATTAGCAAAATAGGTTCAATCTCAATTTTAATAATATCAAAATAACAAATAAATCGGCTCTGAGTAATAAACAAATAATAAACACGAAATAGAACAAATAACAGCATGATTATTTTAGTGCGATGTAAGGAAGATCCTTTAAGATCCAAATCACATCGATCTGTGAAACAAATAATTTAATCGTCCTGACGTTTTGATCTCTAGTTCTCAGAAAAGGATCTGACTAGAAATCAAAACTGGAAGTAACATTTACACGTAATAGTCCGGACGATTAAATTGTTTATTTTACAGACCGATATGATTTGAATTTTACGGAATCTTTCCTCTCTCACTATGTCGCATTAAAATAACCGTGCATCAGCCTTTATTTGCCACTTTGCGTTTATTATTTGTCTAATAATATCATTTACTCCTGTTTTAACCTTGATGTCTCAAATTTCCATTCTCACTGTTTTAGCGTCATAAAATAGATTGTTTTTGGTAACATGAAAATTAAATCTGTAGAATCAAAAGTTCGAGAGAAAAGTTGTCGAGAAACAAGTGTCGGTATCGTTAAAGTAAGCTTTTATCATAGTCTACACAGAGAAACAGATTTCTTCGGATTTAGTAAAATTTCTTTAATTGAAACAAATACAAATATATATATGTATATACAATTCATATTATGCAGATGTTGCTTCCAGAATATACTTATAACATTCGATTAATACATGGAACGTCGCGAATGAGTTTACAATACACTCTGAGAATGTACAGAAAACAATATGCTACACGATATTCTCCAAAAATATTGTAGAATCCTAAACATCACTATTAATCATTGCCAATAGATACTAATCAGTGATACATCGATTCCGCACAGACTATTCACATATGGATACTAAAATCTACGTTTAGAAATGTCGACATAGAGCCCACGCGGATATCACGTCGATAAACTTACATGGATATGTCCACATAGAATCTACGTGGATATCACGTCGATACATTCGCATCCACGTAATCCACGAAGGAACGTGGAATCCACGTCGATTCTACGTGAATGTTCCCATCGGGATAACACCATCTTCTTTACTAAATATGAGGAAATTTTTTTCTCTGTGTATAGGCCGAGTGGGCGCAAACTATCCTGGAGGCTTTTGGTTCCTCGCTGCAGTCGTCTTCGTTTGATGACGTCAGAAGCGAGAAAACACATGCCCGAAATTTTCGCGAAATACGTTGCACTGAAAAATTGCGTTCATAAAATGACACTTGAGGTCGATAGAACGCATTTGTAAAATATTCCGAAAAATGTTCTCCTCGCTCTAACAATCGATGAGTAACCGTAAGCTTAATACGGCGACCCTCCTTTTTGGCCCATTTTTCTTTCACGACCTCGTCACGTTTATTTCACGGCAATTTATCGATTTTTAAAGCAAAGGGAAAGTGTCCGGAATATTTTGCGAATGTCGCTCAGTCGATCACAGCTATCGTTTTATGGGTATATTCTTTGATTTCGCCGGTGAATTCCGCAGGAATTTTAACTGCACCTTTCCTCGCTTCTGACGTAATTAATCAATATGGCTGCCGCGGCGAAACAGGAGCGCCAGAGCAGCATTTAAATTGCGACTCGAATGGATGTGCAATCAGTCCTCGACTTATGCACGTGGATGGTTCCACAAAACCCTACGTATGTCAGATCTGCCCTGAAGTGTACACACTGCATACAAGCCCGAATACAAACAGGGCAGTGCGCCATTACGTGATTTTCCGCAGGTAATGCTACTACTATTACTACTACTAGTAGTAGCAGCGGTTAAATTTTACACCACGAATTCTCGACGTAAGTTCGGCTCTACTGAAAAAAGGATTTGGTAATAAGTTTAACTTAATTAAAATTTAACTATGTAATAGCTAAACTTAACGAAAATTTGACTGTATAATTTAAATATAAATAGGAATACTAAATCTGAAAGAAACGTTTTCTTCTATATTCATATGCAATACTGTAGTTCCGTATATTGTATATTTAATATACGTATATTTAATATATAATATATTGTATATTTAATAGACTAAATTACTTGTTTGCAGTAAGGAAATATTTGGTCGGCAAATATTCAGCATATTTTAATACTCATCGCGAAAATCCTTTCTTCACGTGTGTCAGATCTACGTATGTCGAGGGCCTGCCTGTGGAAAATTCCACCTGAATGAAATTCAATCCCTGACTTTTCCTCGCTCCCTTTGCAGAACCTCGCATCATGATAGCCGACAGTTCGAGCAGGTTGCAGCGCAGCGGCACGGGCGGCAGTTTGGCGACCGCCTTGAGAGATCGCGGTCCTTGCGTGATCCCCGTGCAGCCTAATCGCTCGCTGCCCATTCGGCCGGCGCCGCCGATGCCGACGAGGTCGGCGTCGATCGTGACGTCAAGGAAAGCGCGCTCGCCGATCCTCCTCAAGCCGTCGAGACCCGCGAGCGGTTTGGACGTGGTCGAGGTCGTGCAGTCCGAGAAATCCCGCGCCCTGACGAACGAGTTCCTCCCGTTCGGCCGGCAGGACGGCAAGAGCGATGACGGGATGATGCTCGCGGGCGAACTTATCGGTCGGACGGATTACGTTCTCCCGGACGTGCGAACTAACGTCGTGCAGGTGGTGAATCTAAGAATCGGAGATCGCGCGAGCAACTCTCACGGCGACGCTCGATAAGGAAACGTCGACTGTTTCTACGCTTGCAACGAAGCACGACACTCTCTTATCGTTGCACCGTTACAGTATAATACTATGTTGTTTGAGCCTTTATTTCGGCCGGCGGCCTGCAATATCCGCGGATTAAAGCTCGGAAATTACCTCGCTCAGTAAGCGAGAAATCGCGTGAAACGCAGCGTTATTGGGATATTATTTTATAACGTGTAACGTTTCTCAAACACGTGGTTCTTAACGTTGTGTGTGCATCCGGATAACGTGTAAGACCGGGATATAAGACGTCCTTAAGACGCCTCTCAGTCACTTACGAACGTCTTTAAGACGTCTTACGTCCCGATCTTGGAAGTTATGTTATCCGGAGATTGTTAACAGTGTTTAGCTCAAACGTTAAAAGTAATATTTCTATATTATAATTTTAATATTTAGAAATATTGTATCAAGTCAAGTAACGATTTGCAAAACATTTATAAAATATGTTGAAATGCCTATAAAATGTCCACGTCAAATTAATATTTTCGAAGAATGATCTAATATTTCTTGCGTACTGGATGACACGTATTGTCGATCTTCTGTAAAAATGATGTCTACTTTTTACAGATTACGCAGGAGATCAATAGCGTGAAAAGAAAGAGCAGCGACGATCGGGATAGGGAATATGAAAAAGAGATCACCAAAGACGTGAAAAAACGGAGGAAATCGCACGAAGTGGACGCGAATCACACGCGCGACGAACGCATCGAGAATATCTTGAAGGAATATTCGAGAACGTATTCCAGTAATTTGGCCGACAAAGGAGAGAGGAAGTCGCAGCATGTAGTGTTGGGATTGTGGGACGGTGACAAGAGGTGTTCGCCGTCGGTCGTAGTGTCGACCACGGAGGCGGAGAAGACGAAGGAAATCTGCAACAAGGTTGTGCCGCCTCTGAGATTGAAGAAAGTTGTGCGCGAAGGTAATATATTTCTGCTTGATATTGGAAAAAATATTATTTAATTTGATCGAATGTCGATATAAAATGCAACATCTATCGCTTAGTTTAACGATCAACATTTTTCTGGTTTTTATGCGCACCGACCACTTCTCCGGTGAACACTGACCAATAGTAAAGTAACATCAATGTTATAATTTCCGCTCAACAGTCTAACTTATATAACACGTGTATCATATGTGAATGGGAAATTATAATATTAATGTGATATTATTATCAGCAGGTACCCACTGGCTCGTATTTTATAATTTGACTTTGTAATTCGCTGAAGATAGATAATGATTTGAATACACGATTTATGTAATTAGTGACTATCAAATACAATCTTCGTTTATAATGTTCGCCTAAAATTCGTGACATTTGACTGTAAATTGCTTGTTTGTTTATTTGGTTTCTTTTCTATTAAGTGATTGTACGTCAAAAGAGTTTTTGCATATTATTGTATCGACAGAAAAAAATTAAAAATACCAGGAAAATAAAGTGAAATATTAGATTGAACACCAAGAAAAAGAAGAAATGAAACGAGAGCCCAGTAAGCCTGAAACACTAAGTCAACTTTTCGAAACGTTGATTTTACGTGGATTTTGTAAAAATTTGGACATAATATTTCACAAATATTTTTCAACTGTCACTTGATAATGTAATATTCCTAATAATATAACATATTCCTAAATATTAACATCATAGTGTAGAAATATTATTTTTAACGTTTGAATCAAATATTATTAACAATGACGTTGCATACAACATTAAGAACTACACATTTGAAAACGTTACGTTATTATAAGATATCATTGCAATAACGTTGCATTAATGATTTCTTGCTTACTAGATATACTCCGTGAGTCGCTCATTGTCTGGGAAAAAAGGATCATACGCGAAATTTGCCCATATACGACCAATCACATATGTCCACGGCGAAGAAATACCGTCGTTTATAAATTATACGCAAATAGAATCGAAGTGCGCTTCTAACAGCGCACGATATCGACCTTTGATTAAGTGGCATCATCCTTTTTTTCTAGACATGTATGATTACATATGTGACCGCATATATATAATATTCACGTGTAATTTTATATAATTGGATATAATCATATGTACTTATTTCTCCCCGAGTTTTTTCTGGTTCTCCTTGAATAGCACAATTTTTATCTTCTCTCTCATTTTGCTCAGCGAGTACTATCGCCGAGTACCATAACGTGGAGGTGAGCGCCGAGCCGGGCAACGAGTTGAATTATCGCATCGTTACCGGCGCCACGCCGCGGCCGGAATCCCCGTCCGGCTACTCCGCGTCTTTTTGGAGCAGCATGGACGCGGAGGGGGACGTCGACGGCAGGCAGACGCTGCGGGACAAGAACCGGCGGTCCTCGCCGAAGACGAGCGACGGCTACAAGATCAAGTACCGGCGCAACCGGCTGCGGCAGAAGCTGCGGGAGCTGCGCGGCAAGGCGCTGGAGCTGTCGCACGAGATGGCCGTCCGCAGCAACAACGGCGACACGAGTCCGCAATGCAGCACGCGGCTGCGTCAGATGATGAACTGTTACGAGAAGCAGATCGAGAACGTCTCGAAGTTGCTGTGCAAGCTCTCCGCCTCGATACCGCCGAGCGCGAGTAACGACGTGGTCGACCTCGACTACGAGAACGAGCTGGACGAGGAGGCCGAGCGAACCGCCATTGACAGCGGCGGAGTCGCGGCGCAGGTGGTCAACGGGCTGGCGGCTTCCCCGTCGCCGCCGAAGCTGTCGCCACTTTCTCCCATCGACTACGAGAAAATCAAGTCGCCGGACAGGATGAGAGACAGCCCGCCGGTGTTGCCCAGGGTGTACATCGCGATCCAGCCGACGACCCTGGGATTTATGAAGAATTTCAGCGCCGCGAAGAACTGGCACGGAGGAGGAGACCGCGACGACACCTCGTCAACGATCGAGATCGGAGTCAAGGTCCTCGACGATGCGGAGCGGACGATCATTCGTGACGGTGCGACGACTAATGAGCCGGCTCTATCCCCGGTGTCGTCGTTCGAGGACGGCCCGGCGGAATGGGACGCGGAGGTGCTCTCGCCGAAACTGTCGGACTTGAAGAGCCCGGAGGTCGGGGAGAAGGTCCAGGTGGACACGAAGACGTTCGACGACGGAGCCGGACACCGGCGTTCGACGCCCTCGAACGACTTTCTCCTGGACGCGACGATGAACATCGAGATAGACGGAGGCGACACGAAGGAGCCCGCCGACGTTCAAGGCTGCCACCTCGAAGAGGTGGTGACGCAGACCGCCGAAATCCAGGCTGCGAGTGGCTCGGCACAAGCGGCTCGGGAGAAGCAGGAGGACGAACTGGAGCGGAACCGACCGAGCGAGGCGTTACCTTCCTCCGGTCCGGTCCCCGAGGAGACCGAGAAGAACACGGAGCAGGCGAGCTACGACCCGGTGGAGCAGGTCAATAGCGAGGGTAGAACGGTCGCGCCCATCGTGGCGCAGGAGGTATCGACGATAGTCGCACGGCCGCAAGTAGCCACGTCCAATGTGATGAGCATCCTGCAGCTGCAGTCGAATTACTACGGCTCGCCCGTCGCGAGGGACAACGTGGTCTTTACCGGCGTTATACAGAACACGAGGAACGCGCAAAAGGTAAAACAGCCTGGAGAAAGCATTTCCTATGAGAATGCGAAAACAGTGTAAATCGAACCGAAGGAAACCCGGGAAAAAATATCACGTATGATCCGTTTCTTCCCGGGTAAACGTAAGGGACTACGATGGATTGATTGGGAACAATGGGAGAAGCATCGTTTGTAAGATATTTAAATCTAGATTTCGTTTGATCGAATGGTTACGAAGTATGGATGAATGAGCGTGGTTAAGGTAAAAGAATTGTAGACCGAGTCCCTTGGTATTAAGCTGAAGTATATGTTCAGATTAGATTTGAAGAAAGTATTAAAGCGTATTCGACGTACTCAGGTGACGACGAGCGTGAGCCAATCCGTGGCCTTGAATCCAACGATGCCTCTGGTGTTCGACCAGTCCGGGTCCGCCGTCAGCAGCTCGAACCAGCAATGCGTCGTGTAAGTTTTCTTCACCGGCACCTTCGCAAACCTTTACAGACTTGATCCACCAGTCCATCTGACGTGTCCATTTCACGTGACAGCCTGCCGAACAGTTGCAACAACGAAGTCGCCCAGGAGAGCGCCGGCCAGCGGAAAGAGGGGAATCGCATTATGACGGAGCAGTTTCCCACACTGGGCAACTGGGTGACGCGCATGTCGAAGAAGCAACCTACCAAGTCGAAGTCTAAACTGCCGTCCGGAGTGACGCTGCCAACTGTTTCGACAGCGGAGGTCGCTCGCGTGAGTAGCCAGTGATCGTCTCCGCCGATGTCGAAATGAATTTCCGAAACTGACATTCCAATCCTCTTTGCGTCCAGGTCCCCGGAGTGGAGGCGCAGAAGGTGCGCGCGAGCGTGCCGAGCAGCGTGATTCGGAGCAACATAGTCAACGTGGCTCCCCAGTGGAACACGGAGAGGTGGCAGCGCCAGCAGCATCAGCAGCGTCAGCAGCAACTGTACGCCGCAGCGGCGGCGTCGTCAGCTCCGCCCGCAGTCCGGCCGGGAATCTGCCCGCCGATCTCGGTCACCCAGTTCTACCCGTCTAATTACCCTGTAAAAAAGACATCTTATTTTCGTTACTTCGTTATTTAAGTTATTTGTTATTCATTTTCTGTTTATCCTCTATTTTACAACAAATATTCCTTTTAATCAAAATTGCTTTAATATATTGCCGGGATAATAACAATAATGATCGTGTTATAATAACGAACAATATAAATAACGAAGAAATATTTACCTAAATATCAATCGAGTGACGCTTGACTCTGGTATCGCAGATCGATCCTTACGGCAACGGCTCGGCCTTCGGCTACCACACGATGTGCCCGTACGGCGACTATCCCTATCATTCGCGGCTGCACACGGCTGCCGCGACGGCGCCGCCGATGAGCGGCTACCAGATACCGCTTCAGGACCCCTCGCCGCTCCGGCAGATGCAGCAGCTCGACAAGCGTTTCCCGGCGCACCTGCAGGATGCGGCGACGCGGCACTTCGCCACGGACCTCCTCAAGTACCCCGCTTTGTCCGCGGCGGGCAACTATCAGCACACCGCCGCCGGCTTGGAGTTCGACCGGCTGCGAACCGCGACAGCGGCCACGCAACAAAACGGCACCACCGGCGCGTCCGCGGCTTGCCTGCCGCCGCCGCCGCCGTTGTTGCTGCCGTCCCCGCAGCCGCCGGCCCCGTTGCAAACCTCAGCGGCCCAGCAGACGTTGGCGCGCGCTCCCCTGGCTGGCTATTCATCAAGCGCGAGTCAGTTAGGCCGGAACAGGATGATACCGGACGTCGTGGCCGCGGCAGCGGCAGCTGCCGTCGTGGCGGCAGCTTCCTTCGGCCGGCAACGAGGCCCTCTGCCGCCCTACGGGAGGCCCGACGCGGACATGGTGTCCGGAGGCATCGGGGCGATGATCGACAGCGAGTCCACGCAGCTGATGGCGAACCGGGCCGCCAGTCGCGAACGACTGCCCGAGCAGGTGCAATCCGCCGGGGTGGCTCATCCGAACTCGCGCATGAACAACGCCGGTTATCACCAGTTGCAGAACTTGATCCTGGATAGGCTGCCCTACGTGAAAACCGACGACGCTTATTCGCAGCCGGTCATCTACGGCGAAAACGCCGGCCAAGAGGCGTCCTCCGTGTCCTCGTCGGCGTACAAGGCTAACGTCGCGCTCTCGTCGTTGATCACGAAGGAGGCCGTGAGGAAGGAGAGCCGTAACTGCGACACGCCGCATCTGGGAAAGGTGAATCGCAACCTGGACACGACGAGTAACCTCGAGTGCTCCAACTGCGGCCTGACCGGCTCGATGTTCAAGTGTCTCGGCTGCGAGGCGGCTTTCTACTGCGACGAGAGATGCCAGACCCGTCACTGGAGCATCCACGTGGAGAAGTGCCCGAAGAGGATGCCTAAATTGAAGAAGCTTATCTGAGAAATTCGTCGTAGGAATTCCGAATCATCGTCATCGTTCGGTCGAGCTGCGGACTCCGAATAAGAGAATCGCGGATCCGGTATCTTCTATTCGAGGTTCAACGCTCGTGAAACGAAAGATGTGCGACATTTACCACCATTGTCTCGATATTCTTGCCGTATGTATAGGGTGGCCCAAGCTAATCTCGATTGCTCCTGGGTGGCGCGCCCGAACAGAACGGGTGACACCGAGCGGAAAAGTCTATATTGCCATTTTGCAAAATTCGCAATAGTTGGTGAGGAATTATTTTTGTGTGATTTTGGGACACCCTGACCCTTATGTGTCTCTAGTCAGTGTGTATGGTGAATTTTAACGAACGAGTGCAAGTTACACCATCTTGCAGTCGCGTCGGATCTGTACCGTAATGTGATAAAGTGTGCCTGGTCGTAAAGCAAACGCTTATTTGTCATTTTATGGCGCTTCACTCATGGTCTAACGTTTCTCGTTCTTGTAAATTAAATTGCGAACTACAAAGTACAAAAGGCTCAACGCACCACGCATCATTCCCACGCGATATATATATATATATCGCGTGGGAATGATGCGTGGTGCGTTGAGCCTTTTGTACTTTGTAGTTCGCAATTTAATTTACAAGAACGAGNTACATGTATTGTGCAATATAATCATAATACGGAGGGTAATTGTAATATGCATATTAATAATTATTACACGTCAGTTCGTCGGTATGTATTATGTGTCTCGATGTAACGAGTGTTACGAACGTGCTACCTCTCATGTACCTTACGCGTGATCATAGCGATTAAGAGATTCGACTGCAAACTAATTTTACTCATTTTACAAACGCGAGAAATCGATAAAAGAACGCTTTATCGGGTATTTGTGTCAAAAGATCAGCTAGTATAACATGAAAATTACCCTTTTATTGTTAAATGTCTTTATTATTATGTCTTCAAAAGTGCGTTACTTTGAGAGAAATAACGCTCAAAAAAAAATTTTATATATATATCTTAACGCTTCTTATAATTGTTATGTATGTGAGACAAAATCATCGTCGACAGACGACGTTTTTTATACTTTTATAAAAATTTCTACCTTGTGAAGAAATTCTAGCACCAATTTGTTTAGATGGATACAAATAAATGGATGGAAAATAAATGATGATAATTGACGTAAACTGTATTTATAAAGTACCTGCGTAAAAGTTACTATTTTCCGGAGTACACAGTTCATCCGCAGGCTGCAAACTTATTCCTGAATACATATCATGTATGTATGTGCATATTTATCCAGTACATTCCTCCAAAAAGCAGTTAAAGTACCAAAAACCCTACTATAAATGTTTTAATTTCAACCAAAATAAGTGATAAATAAATATTCCCATTTACAAGGGAGAATTAAAGTTTGCTCGCGTTTTCTTTATTTTGGTCGATTATTTGATTCAGAAATTTGTGAGCTTCTTGATAATAAGGACTTGTCTCCTTGGCGACTCTTTCCATCCAAGCAGCCAAATGTGGTCTTCCTTTTTTCGGATCATAACCAGCCAAGCCTATCGAAAGAAAGAAAAAAAGATGATTTTCTTATTGCTCAAATTATAGGCATGATCACACATCGTAATGCACCGAACCAAAAGATATATATACGACTTACGTGATTGTTCAATCTCACAAGCACCAAATATGTCAGCTACACTGATGGTATCTCCAGTTAAAAACGGTTTATCTTTTAGCCATATATTTTCGATAACGTCGAGACAATCGCTCATTTGCTTTTTGGATTTTGCCACTTTTTCTGGCTCGGGTGGCCTCCTTTTCAAAATGGGGATGAGATACTACACAATATTGTAAATAAGAAAAGAACGGTTTATTGTCAATGCGTGCAATAATATATGAAGAAAGTGTTACCTGCGTTAAAAAGTATGTACTGCAAAACAATCTTGTATTAAGATGTTGCCATTCCAGATATTCGTCAACTTTGGCCTGACGTTTCGAATCAGAGGGATACCAGTGATCATCCACTTTGAATTCTCTAGTTATGTATCGTACGATTCCTATGCTAAAAGAGTTGAAAAGATAGTTTAAATAATGACAGATAAAAATGTATGTTCCACTTACTGGAATTAATAATAATAATAATACCTATCTGGAATTAATAATACCTTTCAGTGAGTTTGAAGCCATTGTGGTCTATGGCAGGTACTTTCTTCAGTGGAAAAATTTTTTCATATTCCAGAGAAAATTGATCCATATTACTCAAATTTATTATATTTCGTTCAAAGGATAAATTGCAGACCTTGAGGATTATGTACATGGCTCTCGAAGGTTGCGAGATCAAGTCATAATACAACTTTAAAGACATAATTAAAAGAAATCTAAAATAAAATAAAGAAAATAAAATGGTAATAAGATGTGAATAAAATAAGATGCAAAGAAAAGCAAACTGACTAAATTAAATATTTTTAATAAGTGTGCTGGTTCTTCGACATTGGAAAATCTATGCATAAATTTTTCCCAATGCGCACAATTTAAATGACGCATTTTAATAATTGTATAACGTGAAATTATCGCTGTAGTAAGCTCGAAATCAAGATCGATCTCCGGTAGTTACCTTGAATTGTAAATTTATCTCAGCATATATCACTATACATGTCCAATTTGCTAATTATACCAACACTGAAAATAAACTTTCCTCTGATACGAATTAAAAAGAAACCCGAAGCATAAAGTTTGATAAAAAGAATACACATAAAGTTTGATGAAAAGAATACAGATAAACGCAGAGGTTATCAAGATGAAAAAAACTATCGAACTTTGATCTCAATCAGAATTAACATAACTACAAGTACAATTGCGTGTAAAATTTCTTACTACTTACGGTCGGTTTGCTCGACAACGAGTTAGTTCGCAATAAAAAACGGAATATTGAATTTGACTTCTGCAATGCAGATGTGGACTTTGAATACGGTTCGACGGCCGTATATATTTCGAATAGTGAATCGTTTCGAGAATCACAACAGGGACTCGACTGTGATAATAGTGGCGTTCGAATTTTCCAATACACCGATTATCCCACAAACTAACAATACGAAGACCCGCGTCAATAATTCTTACAGTTACAATTTAACAGCCTTTCGAAAACTTTAATTCCTTTCGCGCCTGAAACGCGAATAATTGTACACCAGTTGCATGTAACGTGATATCATTCGGATGAGCGAATTTTCCGTAATTCACTTACCACTTAATTCACAGCTGCGTGCAATCGTGCCACACTGTCGGCTTTCAGACCGAGAATGACGAGGAGAACCTCGATTTACTTCCTCGTCTACGAGAAGGGTCCCGATGACATATCTATTGCGCGACCTGATAACGGAAAAATATTGCGGACGACTCTCTCGTGTGACAGCCCTTCCTCGACATACAATTGGATACTCCAAATACCGATGCGCAGTAGCCCGGATTCACACGGTCGCTGATAGCGTCCGCACGTATCTGCGGGATTTGCATACGCGAAAGAGCAGATGGCGGCACCGATCAATCCGCCTGTCAGCCGAGCGCCGAGTACAAAAATGGCGGACTGCGAGAAAGAGGAAGCGCACAATCTCGTAAGTTATTTACCTTTACTTAATATTTATCTAATCATTCCGATGATCTTGCGGCCTTTGTGACTTACCATGAGATATCGCCCGCTTATCTGCCGCCAAACGTTGATCCTGTTTTATGGCTTGTCGATACGGTCTCTTGCAAGATGCATTTTGAGGTTATGTCGCGCCCTGTTATCCGGCCGTTTGACGTTTGTCGTCGTTCGTGTTCTTTGTTCATGTTCGAGTCGACTGACTTACCAATGTTCCCTCTGTTTTCAGCAAATGGAGTTCGAGTGGGTGCTTCGCGAGGAAGTGCACTCCTCGCTGTCGCAGCTGAAGAACATACTTATGGTACGTACACATTGAGACACGGGTGGTAAAGGTAAATCGCTATAGTTTCGTTGCTCTGCGTTGAATTTCGTCAGGCATGCGTACGCGTGTTAACAATATGTGTTTCTGTCCGAAGGAATGCGCCCAGCGATTTCCGTTGACGCTCTTCGGCAACGATCAGCACAACAAAACCGACCGATTTGTGTTCGCCGCTGCACACGATCAAGTCAAGTGCGTCGCAGTCCTCACCGGCGACAGTATCACAAATGCTGTGAGATATCTATGAATATAAAATCATAAGTGAGATCAGTCGTGTTCATGGAACTGTATGACCGTGCATTCGTTTTATCGCTGCGTGTCGCTGCTTGCAGGAGGTAAATTTCAAGGTTCAGCGGCAGCAAAACGTAAATATGAGGACGAGTATTCAGAACGAGCATCCGTGGAAGTTGCAGCAGATTCAAGACGCCGCTAATCATCTGCAGCAAGCCATTGCTCACATAGATAACGTGGATAGGCATTACCTTTTTAAAACATCGGACGAAGTCATGCATGTTCTAGGTAATATTCTGGGCTGTCTTCAAAGGAGCAGAACTAGCTTAATTGTTCCTAGGAAGAAAACGATCGACGATCTTATCAAGAGTCGAAATATGGTGCATATCTTCTATTTTGTTCTATCAAAGACATACACGCACACACATAACTGTGTGACTCTTGCGTAATCTGAATATCTTTGCTTGTAGAAATCTCTTAATCCGAACCTCCCGGAGAATCTGGCTATTAGTTTTTACATTCAGAGCTACAAGCTGGTTCTAGCAGTCTATCAGTTAGAAAACGCTCATGGCAGTGTTAAGTACGAAACCCAGCAGGCAGAATGCAGCGTGCCGTGGCTAAACGACGCCCTTGTGCTGCTCACTATAGCGCTGCAACTCTGTCAACGACTGAAAGATAAGGTTCGTCACTGGTTACCGGTTACTCTCGCGAAGATCTCAACTCAGTTCGACAAACTGATTGTTGCGTTGGAAACTTTTCAGATATGCGTGTTCTCCCAATACAAGGATTTTACAGTAGGTTCTCGTGTTCCTTCAGCGTTGGGCTGACAACCTAAGGAAATTTATGTATTTGAAACGCGACTTGATATATAGGATGGTGCTACGTGCAAGTGAAGAAGTTTTGGCCTCAACCGGTAACACACTTGCCCTGGCCTTCGTTTTTACATATGTTATTTGTTCCTCTCTCCCCCCCCCCCCC